AGGGCTGGTGTAGCCATTTATGATCTTGACTTTGATGCTATTCTTTCTGCTATGTATGCTGTGACTGGTAGTGATGAGGATGACTGTTACCGGTGTTTCCCGCCCGACCCGGGCATTGGTACTGCTGCGTCAGGTACTAGTGAGGCTGCTGCTCTAGGTGCCAGTGCGTCTGTGCTCTATGGTACTGGTGAGTCTGCCCTCTCAGGTACTGTGTCGGCTTCGGCCTCTCACACCTTCACCCTTGACTCTGGAGCGTCTCGCTCCTTCTTTCGGGACCGCACTACTCTCACGCCGCTGAGTCGGCCGGTTGCGGTGTCCCTGGCTGACCCCTCTGGGGGGCCTGTCCTGTCTCGCTTCTCCACGGTACTTCCGTGTCCGGCGGCCCCCTCTGGCACCCTGTCTGGTCTCTACCTCCCCTCGTTCTCGACGAACCTGGTGAGTGGTGCTGACCTACAGGATGCGGGTGTCCACCAGTTCACTCCTGCTCGTCAGCGAGTGACCCACTGCACGGAGGCTAGCACGGGACGCCACCTGGCTACGTTTACACGTCGGCCAGGGTCGAGCCTGTACACACTGACCACTGCTTCTCCTCCAGGTGCTGAGTCTGGTAGGGTCCCTTCGTCTGGTCAGGTGTTTGCCGCAGCGTCCAGGTCTGGTCCTGAGTCTTCCCCCTGTTCGTGTCGTCGTCTGTCTCACGAGACCCTCCTCTGGCACCACCGCCTTGGCCACCCCTCTCTGCTTCGGCTCAGAGGCATGGCCTCCCGTCTTCTTGTGTCTGGTCTCCCCCGGTCTCTACCTCCCCTTCCTCAGGGCCCTGGCCCTGCCTGTGTCCCCTGTGTCGAGGGGCGCCAGCGTGCTGCCCCTCACTCCTCCCAGTTTCCTCCGACAGAGGCCCCGCTGCAGACGCTTCACATGGACGTGTGGGGCCCAGCCCGCGTCCGTGGACAGGGTCACGAGCGCTACTTCCTGCTCGTTGTTGACGACTACTCGCGTTACACCACAGTCTTCCCCTTGCGCAGCAAGGGTGAGGTTACTGAGGTGCTGATCGACTGGATCCGCGCAGCTCGTCTTCAGCTCAGGCAGAGCTTTGGCTCGGACTTTCCTGTGTTGCGTCTGCACTCTGACAGAGGCGGAGAGTTCTCCTCTGGCCTTCTGCGTGCCTACTGTCGGGCGCAAAACATCCGCCAGTCCTTCACGCTTCCGGACTCCCCGCAGCAAAATGGGATTGCTGAGCGCCGCATTGGCATGGTCATGGACGTCGCTCGTACGTCTATGATGCATGCGGCTGCCCCCCATTTTCTGTGGCCGTTTGCGGTCAGGTACGCGGCGCATCAGATCAACGTTCACCCCAGGTTCTCCAGGCCGGAGACCTCCCCAGCCCTGCTGTGGACGGGGAAGGTTGGCGATGCGTCGGCGTTCCGGGTCTGGGGATCTCGGGCGTTTGTCCGCGACTTGTCTGCGGACAAGCTGTCCCCTCGCGCTGCTCCCTGCGTCTTCCTGGGGTTCCCCCCCGACGCCCCTGGGTGGCAGTTCTACCACCCCACCTCTCGACGTGTTCTGTCCTCCCAGGACGTCACGTTCGACGAGTCGGTACCCTACTACCGCCTCTTCCCCTACCGCACTCCGTCCCTCCCCCCACCCCCGCTCTTCTTGGTACCAGGTCCCCCCCCGGTAGTCCCCCTCCCCCCTCAGGGTCCTGCCCCTTCAGGTGTGTCCCAGGTAGACGCTGTCGAGCCTGTCGAGGTCACTGGTGACTCTGGTGCTGCTGCGGGAGCTGAGCCTGGGGGTGCGGAGTCTGGGGGTGCTGAGCCTGGGGGTGCGGGGTCTGGGGGTGCTGAGCCTGGGGGTGCTGTGCCTGGGGGTGCTGTGGCTGGGGGTGATAAGCCTGGAGGTGCCGAGCCTGGGGGTGCTGTGCCTGGGGGTACTGTGCCTAGGGGTGCTGTGCCTGGGGGTGCTTTGCCTGGGGGTGCTTCGTCTCACCGGGAGCCACTCTCCCCACCGGAGCTGCGTGAGTGGTTTGCCAGGCGCTGGAGGCGTGCTGCTGGTGCTGGTGGTTCTTCGGCTGCAGAGGGTACTACTGCCGCGCGTCCCGGCGGTGCTCGTACTGTGGGTGCTGGAGCTGCTGGGTCTGAGAGTTCTTCTGGAGCTGGTGCTGCTGAGGGTGTTGGCGCTGAGCCTGCCGTTGGCGGTCCGACTGACAGTGCTTCTGGTGGTGCTGCTGGAGGTGCTGCTGGAGTGGGTGCTCCTGCCGGGGGTGCTGGTGCTGTTCCTGCTGTTTCTGGCGTCGCCGCGCGACCCCGACCGTACTTCGTTCCGCTCCTACAGCAGATTCTTGGTCTTACACCTCCTTAGAGGGTCCGCAGCCTGTCCGGTCACAGCCACAGCTACAGCCTGCCTCCCCTTTGCCTGCTCCTTCTCCCTACGCTGGTCCGACTGGAGGTCTTACTGAGCGTCGTGAGCCTGCGTCTCGTCCTGCGTCGCCTGTTCGTACTGAGCGTGCTAGTGGTCGCGGGTCGCGTCAGCGTCCTCCTCCTGTCCCTGGCACGCACCGGATGTCACTGCGTCCGTCCACTGCTCCTCTGCGTGCCCCTTTGCCTTCTCCGCCTGCTTCCTCTCTTCCTGCTCTTGTCGACCCTGAGTCGGACTCTCTTCGTGCTGCCAGTCCTACTGTCACGCGTCTCCTTGCTACTGCTGTCACTGACCCTTCCTTTGAGTCGTCTGCTGCGTCTGCCCTTGTCACTGAGCTTGTCGACTTTGCTGCGCGCTGTCGTCTAGACTACGCTGCCAGTCTTGTCGCTGAGTCTGAGTCTGCCTGTCCTCCGTCCGTCGGGGGTGAGTGTGCCCTCGGCACGGACGTCCTTGAGGACAGGCAGGAGGAGTTCCAGTGTTTGGCCGCCGCTTCACCTCATCTCGCGTCTGTACTGCTAGCCCCTGAGGGAGACCCGGATGCACCAGACATCCCGACTCCGCTCTCTTACGCGGAGGCGATAGAGGGTCCCTACTCCTCTCAGTGGCAGGCAGCTATGGATGCAGAGATGGCTTCCTGGAAGTCCACAGGCACCTACGTCGACGCTGTTCCCCCACCTGGGGCGAACATCGTCAGTGGCATGTGGATTTTCAGGGTGAAGCGGCCGCCGGGTTCTCCGCCTGTCTTCAAGGCGCGTTACGTGGCTCGTGGCTTCAGTCACCGGCAGGGGGTTGACTACTTTCAGACCTTCTCCCCCACCCCGAAGATGACCACTCTTCGGGTTCTGCTGCACGTTGCTGCTCACCGTGACTACGAGCTGCACTCTCTCGACTTCAGCACAGCTTTCTTGCAGGGCAGCCTGCACGAGGAGATCTGGCTGCGTCGCCCACCTGGCTTCACTGGGTCTTTCCCTCCTGGTACCCAGTGGAGTCTCCGGCGTCCAGTCTACGGTCTCCGCCAGGCGCCACGTGAGTGGCACGACACACTGAGGACTACGCTTGCGGCACTTGGGTTTGCTCCGTCTACTGCCGACCCGTCGCTGTTTCTGCGCACCGACACCTCTCTGCCGCCGTTCTACATCCTCGTGTACGTCGACGACTTGGTCTTTGCCACAGCTGACACTGCTGGACTCGCCTACGTGAAGTCCGAGCTGCAGAAGAGACACACGTGCACTGACCTGGGTGAACTGCGTAGCTACCTTGGCTTGCAGATCACCCGGGACAGAGCGCGCCGCACCATTACCCTGACTCAGTCACACATGGTGCAGCAGGTCCTTCAGCGCTTCGGCTTCACGTACTCCTCGCCTCAGGCCACTCCTCTGCCTACTCGCCACTCGCTCTCAGCTCTGCCTTCGGATGAGTCCGTAGAGTCGAGTGGCCCGTTTGCAGAGCTTGTTGGCTGCCTCATGTACCTGATGACCTGCACACGTCCTGACCTTGCATACCCTCTTAGCATTCTCGCACGCTATGTTGCTCCTGGGAGACACCGACCAGAGCACATGGGTGCAGCGAAGAGGGTGTTGCGCTACTTGTGCAGTACGTCGGGCATGGGGCTAGTGCTTGGAGGGCGCAGTCCAGTGGTCCTCACTGAGCACGTAGACGCTTCTTGGGCTGACGACCAGGCTACGCAGCGGTCGTCACAGGGTTACACCTTCAGCCTTGGTTCCGGCTCTGTTTCGTGGCGGGCTACTTGCTCGTCTTCTGTTCTCGGCTCCAGTTGTGAGGCTGAGATCTACGCTGGGGCTATGGCTGCACAGGAGTTACGCTGGCTCACCTACCTGTTGACCGACCTTGGAGAGCAGCCTCGTTCTCCTCCAGTCCTGTACGTAGACAACAAGGCCATGCTGGCCTTGTGTCGAGAGCAGCGACTGGAGCACAGAACGAAGCACATTGCCCTCCGCTACTTTCTTGCTCGTGAGCTGCAGCAGCGTGGACAGTTGCGACTTGCGTACGTGGCCTCTGAGGCCAACACTGCTGATGTCTTCACTAAGGCACTTGCGCCTTGTGATCATCAGCGTTGTTGCACGCAGTTGGGTCTTGTGCCTGTCTTGTCTCACTTGCTCACTTCTTGACCTTGCTTGTACCTTCACCTATATATACTCTTGCTCTTGCTTGCTTGACTCTTGTATATCTCTATATATGATCTTGCATGTGAACTGGCCTTCTGGCCTTTGAACTTGTGCTCGGAATGTGTGGTGACTTTGTGATCCACCCTGAGCTTTGCTTTGCTTTGCTTGACTGGTCTTGTGACCCCTTGTTCTCCCCCACTTTGCCTATGGGGGTGTGTCAGAACATTATAGCTTACTTATTTGTGTAGGCTATAGTGGGGTATCCCATAGGGGGTACAACCCAGTTAGGGTTTCCTATTTGTACTCACTTCGTTCATAGTTCACTCATTCTCTCGTTCACTTCTTCTCACGCGCAACATGGGCATTCCGCCCGTGTTTCGATGCTCCATTGGCTAGGTGCGCCGTGCGTTGCGGCGCCAGGGAGTGCGGTGCCGTGCCGCCACCGGCGAGGCGGCGAGCGCCGACATGGCTGCTGTGCGTGAAGCGCGTGAGAAGGTGCCGGCGCTTCTTACTCACCTCGGCTACCAGCCGCGCGACACTTTCAATCTTGACGAGACAGCTCTGTGGCTCTCTGTGCTGCCCCGAAAAACATACAGCAACGCCCGCATTCCGGGGCGCAAGATCTCAAAGGAGCGGCTGACCGTCGCGTTTCTCGTCAACGCCGACGGCAGCCATGTTTTCCGGCCGCTCGTCATCAGCAAGGCGCACCGTCCTCATGACTTCCGGCCGGACTACGACCCCGAAGCCGTCTGCTACTGGTGGCATAACGCCAAGGGCTGGATGACCAGTGCGGTAAGTGTGCACCCGGCCGTGTAATTCTATTTGTGCATGTGTTCTTATGTTACTTATGTTAATTTATAGTTTTCTCAACCCGACCCCCCCCCCCCACCCTCCATCCCAATCCCCCTTAATATCGCAGCTCAATGCCGCGATGTATGCCGAAGGGAGGGAAATCGCGGTGCTGCTCGACAATGCCAGCTCCCATATGCTGCGGGACGAGTGCGCGTGGAGCGAAATCGTCTGCGGCATGCGGACCACCCGCCTCAGCAACGTGCGCCTCAATTTCCTGCCGCCGAACACAACCGCCTTCACGCACCCGCTCGACCAGGGGATAATCGCGACCGCGAAGGCCCGCTATCGCCAGCACTGGCTGCGTGCCTTCACGGCGCTGTGGAACGACGACGGCGCAACAAGCGCCGTGGCCCGCTATCGCCCCAATCTGCGCGATGTGCTGGGGTGGCTCTCAGACGCCTGGATGAGTGTCGGTGCGCGCACCATCCAGAGGTGCTTTTGGCGCACGGGCTGCATGCCTCTGTCGTGGTCCCTGGAGCTCACCCATGTGTATGATGATGAGCCGACCCCCCCTGCGTACCCCGACATTGAGCTCGCCGACGACATCGACGATGTCGGCGAGCTCATTGGCGGACTCGGCCTCGGCACCGGCGCAATGACCGCCGCCGAGTACGTCGCCATCGACGAGGGCGAGCCGACGTGCGCGGAGGCGGCAGCGGGCGCGACACCGGATGATGCGGACGTGGGCCTGGTGGCGGTGTTAGAACATATAGCTTACTTATTTGTGTAGGCTATAGTGGGGTATCCCATAGGGGGTACAACCCAGTTAGGGTTTCATATTTGTACTCACTTCGTTCATAGTCATTTCATTCTCGTTCTTTATTTTCACATGGAATCAGAGCAGGTTCCCTCCTAGGGACTGCTTCTAGGGCCCACCGAAGCGCGCCCCGAGGCGCATTTTCCTTTTTTTAGCGACCCGTCGTCTCGCCCCTAGCGGCCCCGCCGCCCTTCGATCGCGGCTCCGCCGCCCTTCCTTAGCGGCCCCACTGCCCTTCGATCGCGGCCCCGCCGCCCTTCGATCGCGGCTCCGCCGCCCTTCCTTAGCGGCCCCGACCGTACTTCGTTCCGCTCCTTCAGCAGGTTCTTGGTCTTACACCTTCTCCTGGTCCTCCTCCTACTCCCTTAGAGGGTCCACAGTCTGTCCCGTCACAGTCACAGCTACAGCCTGCCTCCCCTTTGCCTGCTCCTTCTCCCTACGCTGGTCCGACTGGAGGTCTTACTGAGCGTCGTGAGCCTGCGTCTCGTCCTGCGTCGCCTGTTCGTACTGCGCGCACTGGTGGTCGCGGTTCGCGTCAGCGTCCTCCTCCTGTCCCTCGCACTCACCGGATGTCACTGCGTCCGTCCACTGCTCCTCTGCGTGCCCCTTTGCCTTCTCCTCCTGCTTCCTCTCTTCCTGCTCTTGCCGACCCGGAGTCGGACTCTCTTCGTGCTGCCAGTCCTTCTGTCATACGTCTCCTTGCTACTGCTGTCACTGACCCTTCTTTCGAGTCTTCTGCTGCGTCTGCCCTTGTCACTGAGCTCGTCGACTTTGCTGCGCACTGTCGTCTAGACTACGCTGCTAGTCTTGTCGCTGAGTCTGAGTCTGCCTGTCCTCCGTCCGTCGAGGGTGAGTGTGCCCTTGGCACGGACGTCCTTGAGGACAGGCAGGAGGAGTTCCAGTGTCTGGCCGTCGCTTCACCTCATCTCGCGTCTGTACTGCTAGCCCCTGAGGGAGACCCGGATGCACTTGACATTCCGACTCCGCGCTCGTACGCGGAGGCGATAGAGGGTCCCTACTCCTCTCAGTGGCAGGCAGCTATGGATGCAGAGATGGCTTCCTGGAAGTCCACAGGCACCTACGTTGACGATGTTCCCCCTCCTGGGGCGAACATCGTCAGTGGCATGTGGATCTTCAGGGTGAAGCGGCCGCCGGGTTCTCCGCCTGTCTTCAAGGCGCGTTACGTGGCTCGTGGTTTCAGTCAGCGGCAGGGAGTTGACTTCTTTCAGACCTTCTCCCCGACCCCGAAGATGACCACTCTTCGGGTACTACTGCATGTCGCTGCTCACCGTGACTACGAGCTGCACTCTCTCGACTTCAGCACAGCTTTCTTGCAGGGCAGCCTGCACGAGGAGATCTAGCTGCGCCGCCCTCCTGGCTTCACTGGGTCTTTCCCTCCTGGTACCCAGTGGAGTCTCCGGCGTCCAGTCTACGGTCTCCGCCAGGCGCCACGTGAGTGGCACGACACACTGAGGACTATAGCTTTGCTTGACTGGTCTTGTGACCCCTTGTTCTCCCCCACTTTGCCTATGGGGGTGTGGCAGAACATATAGCTTACTTATTTGTGTAGGCTATAGTGGGGTATCCCATAGGGGGTACAACCCAATTAGGGTTTCATATTTGTACTCACTTCGTTCATAGTCATTTCATTCTCGTTCTTTATTTTCACAGGCGGAGCTATGGAGGGCGCCTACCAAGATGCAGGCCGTGTATGACGAATCCGACCCAATCGGCAGTGAAGCGCGGCGCACAGCACGGGCGGCCAGCGAGATGCTCATCGGCTACGCTCGCGCCGTGAGCGTGACGCCGCGCGACCTTTGCCACCTGTTCGACATTCGTAATCCGATTATCAGGGAGCGCATGGAGCGGGCAAGCCCCGCGCTCAATCTCAACACGGCCCCGCCGCCGCGGCTTTCGCCGACCGTAACTCCGCCGCCTGACACCCCGCGTCCGAGGGGCCGAGTGCTGCCTGGCTGGATGACCCAGCCGTCCCGCCGTCAGCAGCTTCTGGACGCCGGGGTTGGCGCCGCGATGGGCGGGTACGTGGAGGCGGCAGAGTGGATGCATGTGTGAATTCGTTTTGTGGACTCATGAGGAGTCGAAGGTTAGGATGGTGGAGTTTTTGTGGATTTGCTATGTGTTTGGATTGTGCACGTAACGGGCACAATTGCAGTAGAGGGGATGAGGGGCCATGTGGTAGTTCGTGATTGGCCCGGCTTTGTGTGTCAGCTGTTTCAATCTAAGTTGAACAAATGTTGATGTTGCTTGACGATTCAGTTTTGCTTTCGTGTGGATTTCGGTAACGCGCACTTGTGACAACAGGTGCCACCCGACACTGTTACATAACGGACAAAGCGAGCGGTAACCATATGCGCGTTAAATGCACGCGCAAAGCCTGACGAAACCCTTGACGAACCGACGAAATGATGTTTTAGCTTACAGACCCCCTTCACAAGGCAACCGGGAGGGGCTCTAACGAGCATTAGCTGTAGGATAAACCTACTACAGTATTTCCTCTCTATCTGACATCAACTTCCATGTTTTAGCCCATTGTAGAATAGACTCTGTAGTCCGTCGATCATATCACACCCATTCCGTTTGTTTTATTCGCCAGAAACTGACAGACACTTCGACGCGACACGGGCTGCCGAACTGCTGAACCGCATGCTACACCACACAATCCCGTCGTCCGCTCCCCTCCCCCAACCCATGTCATTTCGCCACATCACCTCACCTCCGCGTCGCGCCTCACCTCCTCCTCTCCCCCACTACAACACCTCCCCTCCGCGTTTTCCCGCCTAGCCTCACCGAAACTTTGCTCTCCCCCGAGCTGTGCAGAGGAATTTGCACATTAGGGGCGACGGTTCAGCCCATAATTCATCACTCAGCGGCATTTGCTCGAAGTCAGTTGGCCCCTCCAACACGTCCACAACCTATCGACGACATCTTACCTTGAGAAAGGCTGCTGATTCTCCAGCCAATTCAAAGACCCGTTATTATTCATACAGTCACTCCGCGGAGAATTTAGAAGTACTCTCCATTCCCTTCAACGGAGTCGTGAACAATCCCAGCAGACCTTTCCGCAACTTGCGGCACTCCAGGCATTCCAGCTACCCTAAAATTCTCACTCAACTGTTACCGCCACCGCCGCCGCCATGTCGCCCCCGCCGAGCCCCGCGCAGCAGCCCTCTGCCCAGGAGAGCCTTCTGACCAAGAAGATGGTCATGGGGGGCAGCGTGGTGCTCTGGATCGCTTTAAGCTTCTCCGTTATCATCTTCAACAAGTACATTCTCGACAGCCGACTGCTCAACTGGCCCTTCCCTATCAGCCTGACGATGATCCACATGGCCTTCTGCTCGTCGCTCGCCTTCCTGCTCGTCAACGTCTTCCGCGTCGTGCAGCCGCTGCCCGGCGGGCTCAAGCCCGACATTTACTTGACGAGCGTCGTGCCCATCGGCGCGCTGTACGCGCTGAGCCTGTGGTTCTCCAACTCGGCGTACATGTACCTGTCCGTGTCCTTCATCCAGATGCTCAAGGCGCTCATGCCCGTCGCCGTCTACCTGCTCGCCGTCGCCTTCCGCAAGGACGCCTTCCGCGCCGCCACCTTCGCCAACATGATTCTCATCGCGATCGGTGTCGCCGTCAGCGCGTGGAGCGAGGCCAACTTCAACGCCACGGGCGTGCTGCTGCAGCTCGCCGCCGTCGCGTTCGAGGCGACGCGCCTCGTGCTCATCCAGATGCTGCTGACAGCCAAGGGCATCTCGCTCAACCCCATCACGAGTCTCTACTACATCTCGCCCGTCTGCCTGCTCTTCCTCTCCGTGCCCTGGTTCCTCGTCGAGTTCCCCACGCTCGTCCCCGCCATGGCGGCCGGCGCGCACCCCAGCGTGCTCGTGTTCGGCGCCAACTGCGTGTGCGCGTTCGCGCTGAACCTGGCGGTGTTCCTGCTGATCGGCAAGACGTCGGCGCTGACAATGAACGTGGCGGGGATCATCAAGGACTGGCTGCTCATCGCCTTCTCCTGGTCCGTCATTGCCGATCGCATCACCACCCTCAACCTCCTCGGCTACCTCCTCGCCTTCGCCGGCGTCTGCTGGTACAACCGCGTTAAGATGCACGAGATGAACGCCAAGGAAGCAGCCGCGAAGCAGGCGCAACAAACGGACGAGGAGACGGGCTTGCTTGAGGCGCCCAGAGAAGCTCAAAAGTAGGCCGGGTTGGCAGAGAGGACGTCGGCTGTGCCGTCGGGGTGGCAAAGGCTGCAGCTACGGCCTGCATTTAATGTTTATAATTTAGAGGCAGAGGCTATGGTTGGAATTTAGGTTAGAGCTAGCCCACATATGGTAGCATATGCCATGCTCAATTATTTGCCCCTTGGTACAATTTTATGCAACTAGAGGCCAACTTTTGTTTTCATTATCGGCATATGATACAGAAAATTTGCGCACACGTATGTTTGTTTTTTATTCTCAAACGAGGCTAAATTTGAGGACCAGCTTGGTCATTTGTTATGTCGGTAATGAGGATTTGGCAATATACTTTCTGAAAGCAATATCAAGCCAAAAACCGGAGAAGTTTAAAATGACAGCCGCCAGCTGTGCATGTTCACGACCCTGACAGTTGGGCATTTGCAAGTCAACGCCGCACCAGGCGCGGTCCACGCCTTCATCCATACCCAAGATGGCATCTTTTTGGAGTCTTGATTCAAGCTCTTGTTGTCTCACCGCAAGTAGCTCGACAACCGCATATGATCTGACGGGTTTCGGCTTGCATCTACCCAAACCGCATCCACTTCGTCCTTACTCTCTTCATTGTTATGAGCTCACGTCAACCTCATCACTTGAGGAAGACGCAATCACTTCGTAGTCAATGCTCGTCACCCCCCCTACTTTCTTCACAATAAAAAATATGTTTCAAGAATAGCGGTATCTCCTCGAAACTCAGCCTACTGACTTCCCACCCTCAATCATTCCTTGTTTCCCCGGTGCCTGTCGAGTTACTTTTCGTCAACGTGCCTGTTCAACAGACGCTTCCCGGCTGTCTCGCCTACGCGCAACGTCATATGGCGTGTCTCGCTCGTCTCCGTCTCACGCTTTTGCTCCTCGTTCTCGGGTTGAATCAACGCCTACAGCCCGCCAATGCGCAGTCGAACAATGACTGTTATTGCCAATACACATCCTCCTCTTCACGATACTACCAATATTCGTGCGGGTGCAACACGACTGCCTACGACGAGACCCAAGGTGCGGTACCCCCAAGGTGTGATATCCCGCGCGGGCTGTATTGGACTTAATCGATGCACGTCAGACCCTCAACGAAGATTGGAAGTGAGCCTGACATGACGACGACACCGCCTTTCTGCGGACTCATTACTAGCCCTGCTGCTGTAACCCTAAACCACGTCCGCGTCCACGCCCACAACAGTACCAGAACCTCTGGAGTTAGCTCTTGACTTTTCTCTCTCCCTAATTCCCGTTGACATGCTCTTGCACCCTGCCTAGTTCTCATGTGAAGTTATTTTCGGGCAGCCGCTCCTGGTAGTACCTGTCCATGCATGCCCGGCGGGGGACTGCCAGCGCGCTGCGGCTGAACAACTCTCTGCTTCCCCTCCCCCCTCCACCCTTCCTCCCCCTCTCTTGCTGGTGTCTTTGCAGCGAGGGTGCTTGCGGAGTTCGTACCGTGCGGCCTGACAGACTCCTTCCAGCCGTCCTACTGCTCCGTGCAAGGCGTGCACTGCGACTACCGCGGCATGGTCAACTTGCTGTGAGTGAGCGCATCGCATCGATCATCGAGCACCCCATAGCATGGGGCGGATTCCTCCAGCAGCTTCAGCATCAATGTATCTTGTTAGCGCGCGGCGGCGCCTCGCAGCCCCATCGCATGCTACATGATTTTGTTTCCGAAACACTGCAACTATTGCATCTCGATAGTTACCCACCCAGCCCAACTTTTGCAGCACTGGGCCCTCGGCCGTTGCATGGAATGGCATGGCATCGGCATTGCGTATGGATCTGGATGACATTGACATTGCCGCTTACATGGCGCTTGCTGTCATGCGAGTCATGAAATTTCGTTTGCCATCATGTGAATCCCTTCCTCAGAGACCTCGGCGGTCGATCTCTTGCCGGCTGCAGCATCCCCTACAGCATCAGCAAGCTCACTGCGATGACCAAACTGTACGTCCCTCTCACCACCATCCCTTGTCCCTCCCACCACCACCACCCCTTCTCTTTTCACACATCAACTAGTGCCTTTTGGAGTTGCTTCCATCGCGTTCAATCGCACTTCCTTGTCCGTGTGGCGATATGATAGAATGAGCGATGTCTGCTGTCGTGTGCGGCCATGGCAGGTCCCTGGCGAGCAACAAGCTCATGGGGACTATACCGGACTCCATCTCCACTCTGACCAAATTAGAAAAATTGTGAGTCCGCTCAGCGCCTCAAAGGTCCACCCTGACCTCGTTAAGAAATCGGTGAGTCAGTTCGAGTTCTCTTGTCTTATATCAAAGCCTATTCAACTTTTATCGCCTTCTTCCCACCCTATGTCTTCTCCCTTGCTTACTTCCTTTCATTTGTCCCAACATCCTGTGCGTAGAGAACTATGGGGAAATCAGCTCACTGGCAGCATTCCTTCGGGGATTATGCAGCTCACAACCCTCTCTTACCTGTAAGCTGGCTCTGGAGAACGTCGTACGGGACAGGAGCACAGGAGACATCGCATCTTTGCCGTTCTGCTCCCCTACACAATCGTTGTCGACTTTCTCAGTCTTGACGACTGTGTTAAATTGCAAAATTTTAGGTTGGCGTATGAAAGTTGCAGGTGGTGAAATAACCCCAGATGCCGACTAGAGGTCATGATTAAAAATTAGAAAGTAACAAGAGGTGTCCAGGATTGAAAGGCATTAAGGGTCCCATTTGCCCTCCCATGAATAATGGTATAATCACTCCACGTGTTGTACCTGCAGATTCCTCTCACAGAATCAGCTCACTGGCAGCATTCCTGCCCTACCATCTTATCCTTCCAATTTTATCTCTAACCTGTAAGTATGGTTGAAAACTCCTATCTTGAACCATGCAGTGATGCTGCCCTTACACCATCATCTCAATTTTACCCATCTTGAAAGCTTCCAACTAGCTCCACCTGGGTTTCCCCTTCCTCATGCCCTCTGCTATCCTCTACTCTCTCCCAGGCAACTACAATCCAACCAGCTGTCCGGGCCCCTTCCTGCCTCCTTGGGGAGATATCACGACGCGAGCATGTTGTGAGTGCTGCTCTGAAACGTGTAGAGACGAGGCATAAAGCAGGGGCAGATGGAGGGAGGGAGGAAGGGCGAGAGGAGAGGAGGAGAAAAGTGGGGGAGAGAGAGAGAGTGGGGAGAGAGAGAGAGAGTGGGGAGCGAGAGCGATGGCATGAGAAACATCGGTACGACTTAGTCGTGCCGTATGGAGTTCCTTATTGGGCATCACTCAATTTAGCGGCCTGCCATCTCCCAGCCCTGAGAGCATCTTACTATCCCCTGCCACGTGGCCTGACAGGAACATCGACTGGTATAACTTCACATGTCCAATCAACGAGGGAAGATGTGTGGTGCACCAGTTTACACGCTATCCATTCTGCCGCTTCTGCCCGGGCTTCTGTGCCACTTGCAACCCTTCTTACCGTACGTCAACATGCCTCGTGCTGCTGCTCACGTTTGGGGCACCTTTGGAGTTAGCCTCCACGATGCTGCTCTCTTGTGTACGCCAATCTCACCACTCCAATATCGTCTCGTGCACGCATAGCCCGATTCTTACTTGCCGTGGATCCTTTGCCTCTCTGGTTATCTCTTTCCAGTGGCATCCACAGATTACATGGACCAAGACTTAGAAGAAGTAACGGCCCCCGACATCGCAGGCATTGTGGTTGCGTCTGTGGTCATCTTGCCTGTGCTGCTGCTGATCGTGTACCTGACTTACACCCGTGTCAAGGAGCAGAGGGAGAAGGAGAGGCGGGAGAAGGAGAGCAAGGAGGAGGGGGAGGCGGAGAGGATGGAAGGCGGAGGCAGTGAGGGGGAGAGGGAGGAGGGGGGAGATGCGAAGGCTTCTGTGGTGGAGAGTGGCAGTGGATGGTGGATGTTCAAAAAGAGCAGTGGTGCTGGCGCAGAGGCAGCAGCAGGGGATGTTTCACTGGCACTACCAGCAACATTAACAGCCAGCACAGCAGCAGCAGGAGAAGGAAAAGAAGCAGCAGCAGTAGGAGCGGCTGTGGCAGGAGGAGCAGGAGGGGCAGGAGGAGGGTGGAGGTGGCCGTGGCAGGCAGCTGCTGCTCCTGCAGAGGCAGCAGCAGCACACGCAGCAGCCGTTGCTGCAGCAGGAGGCGCAGCAGCGGCAGCGGCAACGGGGGCAACAGGGGGAAATGTGGGAGCAGCAGCAGCAGTGGCGGAGGCACGTCCGATGGTGTGCCGGCAGTACTCGCTGGCGGAGGTGGCGGCAGCGACGGGCGAGTGGGCGGAGGCGAAGCGCATTGGCAGCGGCAGCTTCGGGGATGTGTACAAGGGCGCCAACCCCACCGCTCCCCATGAGATCTGGGCTGTCAAACGCGCCAAGGTCCTCACCAACGACTTCAAGCGCGAGGTACGCCGCAGACGCTCTCACACCAATGTCCAGGCTCCACACGCTCTCACTGAGAGAGCTCCACACACACTCTTACCAACGACTTTAAGCGCGAGATCAGCTGCACAAAATCTGATTTCTAGGCAATCGTACGGTATCCCCTTTGCAGGCTGTAGCATTGCTCGGCTTCCATGTTCGCTCCCTCCTTCCGTGGTAACCTGTCCTCTTTTTCCCCTACCCCCTCGTCCACACACTCCCGCCCCCTTGGCGGCGCACAGGTGAACGAGATGGCGATGCAGGGCCACCCAAAATCCTCCCTGCCCTCCAACCTGTCCACTTATACCCCTCACCCGCACCACCCCTCCCCCCCCCCCCCCCCCCCCTGGACGGTGCGTAGGTGAACGAGATGGCAACGAAGAGCCACCCAAACCTGGTGAGGCTGATGGGGTATTGCTTCGACATCAGCCCAGACACGGAGCGCATGGAGCAGATCGTCATCTACGAGTTCGTTGACAACGGCGACCTCGACCGCTGGATCGGCCCGAGTGAGCTTTCCTACCCAACCATGCTGCCCTGCCTTTCACTGCAGCCGTGACCACATATGCAGCATATCAACGGCTCTCATCCCCGTTGTTTTACTTGCACTTTGATAGTTGTTTTGTGCCGTGCATGCCTGCAGGGAGTCCCCACCCCCTGTCAGCGCGGGAGCGGCTGGACATTCTGATCGGCATGGCCCGCGGCCTCGAGTACCTCCACAGCTTCGGCATCGTGCACCGCGACATCAAGCCCGCCAACATCCTGCTCGACAAAAACATGCAGGTCAGTGGATGCCAACATGCAGGTCAGTGGATGCCAACATGCAGGTCAGTGCACACCGGCATGCAGGTCAGTGCACTCCAACATGCAGGTCAGTGCACACCGGCATGCAGGTCAGTGCACTCCAACATGCAGGTCAGTGCACACCAACAAAGACATCCTTGACCTGCCCTTATTTCCAAGTTTTAAGGTCCCTTAAAAACTACAAGTGTCACCCATCCATTAAACAATGAACATTGGCTCAAGTAACTAGTTTGTAGTGGGATTCTTTGTGTTCAATCATTCCCCTTGGGGCCCATATCATGCAGCCCAAGATTGCGGACTTTGGGCTGGTGAGGCATGGCGAGGGCACGTCGGTGATTGCCACGCGGGTGATGGGCACACCGGGCTATGTGGACCCGGCTTACTACAAGTCACAGAAGGCCACGCCAAAGGCTGACGTGCACAGGTATTAGCACATATATTTTTCCGTTCTGAATCATGGGTGCATTATATCTCTTGAGTTGGACACCTCGTAATGCTTGCTATGCTATTTAATGCTTGTGTACTTGCTCTTGCTTGCAGCTTTGGAGTGGTGATGCTAACGCTCATCACTGCTCGCAAGGCGATCTACAACGCGGAGGCAGATCAGATCAACCTCAAGCAGTGGGTGGCTCCGCTGCTAGCGGCGGGCGACGCGGGCGTGATGAGGGACCCGCAGCTGGAGGCGCCGGACGACTTGGTGCTGCGCATGGCCCGCCTCGCCCTGCGCTGCACGGCCATGCCCACCGCCTCGCGCCCCTCCATCAGCCGCGTGCTCGGTGAGCTGCTCGTCATGAAGGAGGAGTTTCTCGGGCAGGACGAGGACCGCATGGCGGCGCGCATTGACCGCGAGCTCGAGAGCTCCGAGAATGTCAACCTCAGCATGGAGATTGCGCGCGCCCAGGGGGCGAGGAGCAGCGGAGGACTCTCCAGCAACGCATGAGGCCAATTGTTTGTCTCCGGCGAGAATTGTTCAGATTGGCTTCCGTTAGACGCTTATGGGACCTTAATTTAGCCGCCATACAACTACCGTATGCACTCCCTAAATTGTGCCCAGGCGTAAAAACCAACTTTTTTTTTAACGAACAAATGAATGTGTCATTGAGACTGGGCATGGTGGATTCAAGCCAGACGAGTTAAGTTTAGTTCAAAGTTGTAGCTTAGGAAGCTAAATAGTGCGAGGCCATTCTTGCAATCAAGATATGCTTTGCAAGGGTTGCTCCTCCTCCCGACCTCTGCTGCAGGCCTTCGGTGGGCTTAAAGCAGCGGTATACATTTGGCAGGGGGGGTGCCCAAAGTTTATAAAAGGGACATGGTGGATACCAAGTTACAGGCCCACTCAACTTCACTCACGAGCGACGGTTCCCAAGAGTCCCCAACCCTGCCACCAGCCAAGTCCACTCAAGCGCCGAAAGTTTATACATGCCAAAAGTATACTGAAGGTGCTCCCTCCCCGACAAGCCATCACCCACTTTACCCGTGAACTACTAAGGAAACTAGCTCTTCACGCCAATCTGTGCCATCACGATCAAGCTTGCGGGCTCGCTTAGGTCAAACGCCGTCCATAGCATGGCGTAGGGTTTGCGACGCCTCGTAAGACCTCGCTTCTTAGACTCGCCTCAACGCCCGTCGCGGCGTCACCTCTCGGCAAATCCGCTCCCGAAGTCGCCGCGCTGCAAATTCATTCGCCGCGTCGCATCGCCGCAAATCTGCGCGCGGCTTCCCCTCGCCGCAAATCCACGAAGCGGCGTCGCCTCCCCGCAAATCCGCGAAGCGGCGTCGCCTCACCTCAAATCCGCGAAGCGGCGTCGCCTCCCCGCAAATTTGCGAAGCGGCGTCGCCTCCCCGCAAATCCGCGAAGCGGCGTCGCCTCGCCGCAAATCCGCGAAGCGGCGTCGCCTCGCCGCTGATCCGCGAAGCGGCGTCGCCTTACAGCTCCCCGTCCTCCCCGTCGTGCCTCCCGTTCTCCCATTCCCACCCCCGATCTCCCCTTACAGCTCCCCGTTCTCCTCCGCGTGCCTCCCATTCAACCATTCCCATTCCCGTTTCCCTCTCTTCCTCGCCTTCCCTCGTTTCCCTCTCTTCTCTCCCTTCCTTCGCTTCCCAATCTTCCCTCCCTTCCCTCGTTTCCCTCCCTTCCCTCGTTTCCCTCGTTTTCTCTCGTCCCTCCCTTCCTGAGTTTCCCTCTCTTCTCTCCCTTCCCGCGGTTCCCTCTCTGCCCTCCCTTCCCTTGTTTCCCTCCCTTCCCTCGTTTCCATCTCTTCCCTCCTTCCTTCGTTGCCCTCTCTTCCCTCCCTCCCCTCGGTTCCCTCACTATCCTCCCTTCCCTCGATTCCCTCTCTTCCTCCCCTTCCCTCGTTTCCATCTCTTCCTCGCCTTCCCTCGTTTCCCTCTCTTCCCTCCCTTCCCTCGCTTCCCTCTCTTCCCTCCCTTCCCTCGTTTCCCTCTCTTGCTCCCCTTCCCTTGTTTCCCTCTCTTCCCTCCCTCCCCTCGGTTCCCTCACTAACCTCCCTTCCTTCGATTCCCTCACTTCCTCCCCTTCCCTCGTTTCCCTCTCTTCCCTCCCTTCCCTCGTTTCCCTCTCTTCCCTCCCTTCCCTCGTTCCCTCTCTGCCCTCCCTTCCCTTGTTTCCCTCTCTTCCCTCCCTTCCCTCGTTTCCCTCTCTTCCCTCCCTTCCCCCATTTCCCTCTCTTCCCTCCCTCCCCTCGGTTCCCTCACTATCCCCCCTTCCCCGTTTCCCTCTCTTCTGTCCCTTCCCCCATTTCCCTCTCTTCCTCGCCTTCCCTCGTTTCCCCTCTCTTCTGTCCCATCCCTCGTTTCCATCTCTTCCTTGCCTTCCCTCGTTTCCCCTCTCTTCCCTCTCCCCTCGTTTCCCTCTCTTCCCTCCCTTCCTTCGTTTCCCTCTCTTCCCTCCCTTCCCTCGTTTCCCTCTCTTCCCTCCATTCCCTCGTTTCCCTCTCTTCCCTCCCTTCCCTCGTTTCCCTCTCTTCCCTCCCTTCCCCGTTTCCCTCTCTTCTGTCCCTTCCCATGTTTCCCTCTCTTCCCTCCCTTCCCTCGTTTCCCTCTCTTCCCTCCCTTCCCTCCTTTCCCTCTCTTCCCTCTGGTTCCCTCCCCTCCCTCCTTTCCCTCCAACCCCTCCCTTCTCCCCCTTCTCCCCATTCCCTCCCTTCTCTCCCTGCTTGCATTCAGAATCTCTCCTTTTCCTCCCTCCCCTCCCGTCTCTCCCTTCCCTCCCTTCTCTCCCTTCTCTCCCTTCCCTCCCTTCTCTCTCTTGCCTCCCTTCCCTCCCTTCCCTCCCTTCCCTCCCTTCCCTCCCTTCCCTCCCTTCCCTCCTTTCCCTTCCTTCCCTCTTACCCTCTCTTCCCTCCCTTATCAACCTTCCCTTTCTTCCCTCTCTTTCCTCCCTTCTCTCCCCTCCCTCCCTTCCCCCTCTTCCCTCCCTGCGATCTCTTTCTTCTCTTCTCTCCCCCCCCCCCTCCCCCCCCCCCCACCTTCTCCTCCATCCCTCAGCACGGCCCCCATCAGCGCCAAAAATTTAGGGCCGCCCCTTGTCCATCTCCTCAAGCCCTCTAACCTTCTGGTCATCCCTGCCTTGTTGTCTCCCCTTCATGCCTCCCATCACCACTCCTTCCTCTAGAATGTTCCTTGGGCTCATACCCCCTCCTCTGACCTTCCTCGCAACTTGTCTCACCTTGTCCTTCCCCCACCGTGCTGTTTCTTGTCTGTGAAGTCATCGCGACTCCACCGTTGCTTGTGCTGCAGAGGGAGTGCACAGGAAGTTCAACCAGTTCCAAGGATTAGACACCCGAACCTATCCACTGCAGTGTGAGTCGGTCTGCTATCTGCACCCACCCTACCCTCCAACGTACCCTGCCGTACCCTTCTATCTCCTCCCATACCCATACATAGGCCAGCCAAACTCACCCCTCCCCTGCCATACCTTGCCGCTCCTTGCCATACCCTGCCCTACAATTCCCTCTTTAGCACAAGTGTACCTCCCCATTCCATACTCCAGCCATACCCATCCATCCCACACCATACCCATCCATCGCCTGCCATACCCATCCATCCCATACCATACCCATCCATGCCTGCCATACCCATCCATCCCATACCATACCCATCCATCGCCTGCCATACCTATCCATCCTGCTCCATACCCTGCCATACCCTACCCTTCGTTTTGCGCTCGCAATCCATCGATGGATCAATACATTAGGTCCCCCCACTTCCCTACCTGTCCTCTCATCCACCCCTGCAGGAATAACTTCCAATCCCTGCACACACCGCTGCTTTGTTTTGCCTACTCCCTACACCAAGTTCCCCACTCCTTTCTTATGTTGCCCGCCAGAAATCATTGATGTTCTCGCAATGACGTGGGTGTCGACAACGATTGACGCTAGGTTTCAGGATTGGTTCTGAAGATGAGCAAAAAGAGCAGCGACAGGGTGAAGGGGGATAAAAATCGAGCACGGGCATATGACTAACAACATGGGGGGTATGGTGGAATCCAGGGTTGGGTGATTAGGGTCCTTGTATTTAGTCAATACTGTTGTAAGTACTCCATTTGTAAAACGTTGCAAAGTGTTTATAGCTTGAAGGCCTTCAATGTACTGAACCCAGACACAGTGGGCGCAAACCCGCATGTGGGAGTGTTTGGATGTATAATATACCACAAACGGAACCTGTCAACTATGCTGGGAGCTGCCGCACGTGCAGCTTGCTGCAATTGCATGCCTGGCATGGTGTGCAGCAGAAGAGAGCAATGCAGTGTGAGATGCTTGGTGGACCTGCCAGTGAGGGGAGTGCCATTGCTTGGTCAGAGGCGCTTATCACCTAGACCACCACCATCATCCGAAGCAGCCCCATTTCCACCTCCACCTGCCCCCAGGCCAGCAGCAGCAGAAACGGATGCGGAGTGGTCTAGCATCCCTTCCAGTGCTGCCATGTGTGCCGCACAAAAGTCGGCAGGCGAAACCAAGCCAGTCATGCCTGCCGTGTGACGGGTCGTGCACGCAAGCTTGGCCGCTAGCAGCTGGGAGGAAGACACGGGGGTGGTTGGGTTGGGAGAATGGAAGGGGGGAAGTAGGCAGAAGCAGTGAGAAAAGAAAAGGGAGGAGGGTCTAGGGAGACTCGGCGGGGTGAGTATGGTATGAGGAAGAATGGGGCGGGGCTGGGGGAACGAGGAGATGAGAAGAGGAGGATGGTTTGCATGTTGCATGGGGGTGAGAGCGGGCCTGAAGGATTGAACTCACATTCCATTGGGCTGGTTGTAAGGAGGGTCGAGAAAAGGGTCCGAGGAGGACGGAAGAATGATAAGGGGGACCTTGACATGCAAATGCAGCTCGCAGGGGGAAACATGGGGCTATCACGTGGGGAATATGGGGCTATCAGGGGGAGAAATGGATCCGACATGGGGGGAACAGGGGGTCTGATGGAGGGAAACATGGGGCCTGATGGGGGGAAACATGGGGCCAGATGGGGGGAAACATGGGGCCTGCTGGGGGGAAACATGGGGCCTGATGGGGGGGAAGCATGGGGCCTGAACATGGGGCCTGATGGGGGGGAGCATGAGGCCTGATGGGGGGAAACATGGGGCCTGATGGGGGAATGCGGAAGGGGGGATGCGCAAGGGGGATGGGGAAGGGGGAAGGCGGAAGCGGGAACGAGGAAGGAGAACGCGGAAGGGGGAATGCCAAAGGGTTACGGCGAAAGGGGGAACGCGGAAGGGGTTAGGCGGAAGGCGGAATGCGGAAGGGGGTTGGCGGAAGGGGGAACGCTAAAGGGGGATTGCGGAAGGGGGAATGTGGAAATGGGAACGCGGAAGGGGGAACGCGGAAGGGGCGGCGCGGAAGGGGGGATGCGGAAGGGGGAGAGCGGATTGGGGAATGCGGAATGGGGAATGCGGAATGGGGAATGCGGAATGGGGAATGCGGAATGGGGAATGCGGAATGGTGAATGCGGAATGGGGAATGCGGAATGGGGAATGCGGAATGGGGAATGCGGAATGGGGAATGCGGAATGGGGAATGCGGAATGCGTTTGGGGGCACGTGACGCAGCTCCCACCTCTTCTTATATGCGCAAAGACGGTGTGTCCCCTTGGAGAACACGATTCGTCACTGGTACCCGCGCGCGCTATGAATATTACGAGCGCCCTTGCTGCGCGCGTTTTGCTTGCGTGCGCTGCTATCCTGAGCGCGAAATGCTGGAGCGCGCTATGCTGGATCGGGCGGAATGTTAGGGCGCGTGCGAGGCTAGAGGTGAGTGCGATACAGTTGCTGCACAGGATGCTGCTTGCGCGCGATTTTTATAGTCGTTTCGCCCTTTTGGCTGATTATCCTTCGTGCCTAACTCACGCGCCACTTCGTGTGTGGTCTGGTCGCGCTGCTGGCGTAGCACCTTCTAGCGCGCGCCGTGGTTGATTCTTTCTGGAGTAGGTAATAGGCGCTTATTTTCCTTGGTGTGTGAGAGTGAGTGGTGAGTTCGGTAGCGAGGGCATCTCATCCATTCTGTGACTCAACCAACCCCACTCTGGTTCCTTCACAACACAAGTGCATCTGGTTTTCGCCAACTCTCTCGCTTTCCCAGTTTTTTTTCGTCTGGGCGAAATGGAGTTACATCACTGTACAAAACAAACAGTAGCGCCAAATGTATACCGCTGCTAACGAGCGCCACAATGAACTTGTCATTGTGCTTGTAAGCCACTGCTCAGTACGAGATTTAATTGTCATTCAGCAAAGCTTTCATACTATATATTACCACATTACTATTATGAAGTTATTATTGTTTCAGCTACCACGTGTACCCACGATAAGCTGTACAATGTATATCCATATAATTAGCTTTTTGCCGTCGAGTAGTTAGTGTTTGGACGCTAAGACGTACTCGACGTACCCCTTCCAGCAGAACTTCGATGGCCCTGCAAGACTTCTTGGTCTACTCCGATGACTTCGAATGCTTGCTGTCTGCGGTTCTCTTGCGCTCTGCATTGCTGCTCTTAGACGTCTTCGATTGCTTGCTGTCCGCAACTCCCTTGTGCTCTGCACTGCTACTCTTGGTCGTCTTCAACCGCTTCTTGCTGTTCGTGCTGCTTGACCTGCTGCTTGTCGAAGTGGGCTTGGGAGGAGCCGGGGTATGCTTGCTGCCTGCAGCTCTCTTGTTCCCTGCACTGCTGCTCTTGGTCGTTTCCAGCCGTTTGTTGCTTTTTGTATTGCCTAATTTGCTGCTCGCTGAAGCGGGCTTGGCAGGAGATGGGGCAAGTGGGGGAGAGGTGTTCTTAGAAGTGGAGGAGGACGAAGAGGAGGATTTGGAGGAAGACGAGGAAGAGGAGGAGGAGGAGGAGGAGGAGGAGGAGGGCTTGGAGGAAGACGAGGAAGAGGATGAGGAGGAGGAGGAGGGCTTGGAGGAAGACGAGGAGGAGGAGGAGGAGGAGGGCTTGGAGGAAGACGATGAGGAGGAGGAGGAGGAGGAGGAGGAGGAGGAGGGCTTGGAGGACGAGGAGCTGGAGGAAGAAGAAGAGGAGGATTTAGATGAACTGGATGGAGGAGGAGACTTTGTCTTTGACTTGCTGGTGGTGCTGCTCGTCCCACTCTTGTCCTGGTGCGAAATCACATCTCCGCCCCCCGCTGCTCCACCGTTCTTCAGCTCATTGAACAGCAAGTCAGCCCAAATATCCGGCAACCCCGGTTCGCACCAGTGCGAGCAGTCGTCCCCGTTCCCGCTCTTCCCGTCCCATGGCCCCACGTGCGCGTCTGGTCTCAGCAACGCCATCCGGAAAATATCCAACACGCGCACAGCAGGATACGGCTTCAAAGCCGCCTTCTGCGCCGTGAGATACGGAGCCTCTTTAGACTTCCCCATAGCATATTCTCCTTCGGACGGAGTGAAAGGCGCGGTGGCTTTAGCACAACCCATGCCTTTTGTCTTGAACGCGGAGCTGTAGTGTCTAGGGGAGTAGGTGAGGTAGAATACTTGGCCCTTGTAGTTGCTCTTAGTGAGGTAACTGGCGACTGTGATTAGGGACAGCCGGGCGGCCTCGAATTGGTCTGCTTGCACGGGCTGGCCCTTCTGGTACAGCAGTCGCTTGCTGGCAGGAGCCTGAGGGGGCAGGGGCAGGGGAGATGTAGTACATACAGGAGAAGGGTAGGCACGACGGGAGTGCATGACTTGAGACATAAGGTGAGATGCGAGGGAGCGTGCGAGTGGTGAGAGCAGCGGGAGCAGTTTGAGCAGTGGGGTCAGTGGAAGTGGTGCGAGCAGCGCAAGCAGCATGGCGCTCACATTGTCGAACCAGTGGCCGTGGGCGAACACAAACACGTCCGCTGTCTTGAGCAGCGACGCCCACAGCGGAGACGGCTTGTCCAGGTTGATGGTCCACGTGGCACTCGAACTGTCGGACGTGCCCTGGTGGCGAATTAAGGGCGAAAACGATGGCGATACACGCAGAGAGAGAAGTGGTACAAAACACTCCTTGGATGTTATCCCCGTGCTTCACAAAACGCTTCACGAACCGTTACAAAAAAAAAAAAACAATATCTGCAATAGAGCATGATTATTGAGCAGTAAAATAGGCAGGCCTTGCCAGTGAGTCACGTACCGCCGGCTTGGAGTCAACTAGAAAGGGGTCCTGAATCCGAATGAACTTAGTACCGTACTTGGGTACCTCGAACACCTCATAATCGCCTGGCACTCCGGGGAAGGTTCCCTTCCAATCCTGCCGGCGGGAAGGGCACACGGGAGGTGAAGACGTGGGGAGGGAGGGAAAGAGGCAGTGGAGGTTGGAAGAGTGGTCTGTCAGATGCCCAATCTCAGTAATTCCTGTGCGGTATTTGTGTTTTTTGTATACTGGGAAACGCAAACGCACTACAGTGCTGAGGAGACGTATAGAGGATTTCGAGGCGGGAAGTCAAGCGAGTCAAAAGAGTCATCGGAGACAACGACGCGAGCGAGCGAGCGAGCAGGCGCAGCGCGCACGCACCGGAGCGGGAGTGGCGGCGCTGACGAGGCATCGGATGGCTTCGAAGAGGTTGTTGATCATGGAGTCGCCCGCCAAGGCCACCACCTTGCCGCGCAGCAGCGACAGGAACGACGCCGCGTCGAACCTAGAGAGCGAGCATTCCGGCTGTCCCGGCACCCATTTGTAGTTGCGGTAGTCGAAGCTGGTCTGCCCGTTCTTCTCGCAGTTGCGCGTCTTCCCCGCGTACGCGCACGACTTCCCCGTGTACTGCGCCGCATAGCCCTCCGCGCGCACCCACCTGCGGGGGAGACGAGGCGAGGAAAGACGAGAATGAGGGTGAACCCGGCGGAAAGGCCTGGGGAAACGCGAGGAGGTAAAGGTCTAGCTGCGCGGACGAGGAGCTATTTTTGCAAAAACAGGGCTGGGACTGGCTCATGCATCGCCGGAACGACTTTTGAGTGGGCTCGAAAGTCCTATTGACGAAACTCACGTTCCATTGGCGTAGTCGCAGACCGGCCCTGCGTTTACTGCGACAGGCGTGGCGACAAGCACGGAGATCAGAACCGCGGCGAGTGTGACGAGCGGCGGCGTGAAGCTTGCCTGCGACCCGAAGACGACCCGGCGACGGGCCATCTTAGGTTCGCTTTGCCGGGACTTCTGTAGGCTAGCCCGCTGCCTTGCGCGTCGAGAGAGCTGCCTGTGTTTCGTGAGAGGTCTTTGATGCTGTCGCACAGCAAGGGAACGATGTCGCGTGATTGTGTAGTGAATAGCTGACTACAAGGTTAGCGTTTTACATTTAAGGAGGACAACATTAGTAAGCGAGGGTGTTAACTCCAGCGTCTTGAAGATTACAGTCAATGGTCGCAGAGTCTTTTGAACTCTCCGACCTAGCCTGTTTACAAGGACGACGCAAGTGGGTCGCTAGTTTGCCTAAAGGGTCGGCCAATGTCGGTCGGTGCTCAGCAAAGTTGCTTGTGTGCGACAATGCTTTGCGACAGGATGTTTTGCGGTCCACTAGCTTGCCTTTCCCAGAACGGCCGAAGCGCAACCCTTGTGAGATGACTGGCGCGCGCCGACACTCCGTTAGAATATGAATGAGCAGGCCAGTCGGATCGGACGGAGAGTGCTCATTACAAACAGAAGTGGGGTCATCACGGACAGAGAGTGCTGATAGTTGTAGTGAACTAGAACCTCCCCCCTCACTGCCTTGCTTGCTGCCGAGTGGAAAAGCTAGGGGAGGAATGAATGGCGGCGGTAGTACATGCAGCAATTGGGGTGGACAGGGGGGAGTGAGTGAGTGAGAAAGTCGGAGCGCGATACTCTTGAATGTCAGACGAATTGGGATGGACGGCTAGGGTCTTGTCCAGTGCAGCGATGCGGGTCTCCCCGAATTGGAATTGGAAAATGATCAACGAAACGATTTGGCGCGATGGTGGGTACAAGAGCCGTTCGTCTTCGCGATTGAAATGAAAGCTCTTTACAGGATGAACGCGTATTCGCAAGGTATAATATCAACCAAAACTCACGTATTCGCAACTCCTCCAATACTCATGGAAGGTAGAATATCAACTAACGCAGATGTCCCATAATGATACAAAACTGCGAGAATACACGTCGTGGACAGTGGAATACAAACCATCCTGTTTATCTGCAAGTACATTTTGATGCCACTACCTTTGATACAACATGTGATACCTCAACGAGCTTAGGTTTCCCCAACCCCTTATAGGCAGGCAGTTGACACCAATGCATCATGCGATCATCTCACTTCCCAGAGGCTGCTTCCCTCTTTCCGCAAAGCTGCTGCCCCCTTACACCCTGCTTACACCAATTCCAAAGAGCGCCCATTCTATAATGCACCATTTACTTCCCCTTCCCCAAGATGTTGTGATGTCTAACCCCCTAGTGTCTCCTCTTGCAAACCAGTAGCCTCCTACCGTACATCGCCTGCCGCGCACAGCCCCTGTTCAGGCACCGGCCACTATCCTCCACAAGCACCAAGGTTACAAACCCCTGGAGGGATGACGTGTGATTTGGAGACTCTCGTCAGAGGCGTCACACGTGCACCACACGTGTCGCACACTCCACCGCCTGGTGCAGCCTCCTCCAGTAGCACAACTAGAAAGCCCAACGGTCGTCCCCAATCGCCTGGCCTCACACACGCTGCCCTGCAAATAGTTTTTAACCACTTCGTTCCGTGAATACCCTGGCTATCGGTTTCCCGTCTCTCCGCTCCCGCCTGCTGCTCCTAGGCTGTGTGCGGAGCTAGCAGGCGGAGCTCCCGCGTCAGCATCCGCGGAGGGGGACTCGAGTTTGCGGTACATGCGGAACGGGTCGCGCACGTCGTCCGTGAGGGCGAGACGAACCGCGAAAACGACCACCGGCGCCGCCATGCACGCCGCCATGAGCGTGCGCGCTTGCTTCGGTGTAAGCCGCGCAGCGGACATAGCAAGCGGGTGGAAGAGAATATCAGCTCTGTAGGTTATGATTCCGCCGAGAACTTGACCGCGAATCTGGGCGGCGAAACGAAACCTATGAGACTCAAAGCAGTGACAACGATGTTGGTAGGGGCGGGAGCAGGCTTCCCGGCACCGGGGAAAAACGAGTGATACCGTAGTAGCCCTGTTTTCGTGGTATCAATGGGGAGTCCAGAAGGTGGTGGTGGATGGATCTGGATTAAGGGCTGTGCATCGATGATGAACCGAACAGACGAGCCGGCGCTAGTGAGACAAGGTGGCCTGAGGGAAAGCACCCTAAAGGAAAAGCGCCCCGGAAAAGCGAGTATATTTTAGGACAGCAGATGGAACATGTGCTTGATAGAGATGTTCGTTTAGCGCGATGCAATACAAAGTTCGAACATTCTGCACCCCGCTGAACCTCCCAAGGTTAATTGTAAAAAACAGTATACCCCGCCCCTAGTTTCCTTCCTACACTAGACGTGCAAGCATCTAGTATCAGCAGCAGACACAATTGCCGCTTCTTGGGTGTTAAGACTGCTTATATTTGACAGGCAAATGATGAAACGCCATGTATATGAAGTTCTGGACCCTGGTTGGGGGACTAGCTTTGATGGAGATGTACAAAATAAAACCCCAACATCCATCAATCAGCACCCATCTGCCTTTCTATTCCTATCCATATACTGTACACTCGTGCCTCCTCTTTCAACTCACTCTACAGTCTGAGCTCCCTCTCCCTCGCCATCTCCTCCATCCCCTCCTCCGATCATCCCCTTCTTCCTCCTCGTCCTCCTCCTCTTCCTCCTTCCTTGCCTCTCCCTCATCAAACTCTTCGTCCTCCTCACTCTCATCCTCGCTATAATCCTCCTCCAGAAAGGGAAACAAGTCGCGAATGCCTGCTCTTTCACCAAGTCTTTCTATCAGTGCTTCTCTCAAGCTCACACCTGCTCCACCCTCTTCAGCATCTGAAGTCTGCATGTTGCGACCATCACCATTCCTCATGCCAGTACCAATACCACCATCACTTCCATCCCCATCACCATCACCACCACCACCACCACCCCCGTTACTCATAACCCTCCTCCTACTCCTCGCACCCTCCCCTTCCCTCCCCTCATCCACCGCTCCCCCCTCCCTCCCCCGCCTCCCCCCTTCCCTCCCTACTTCCCTCTCCCCTCCCTCTCCACCCCCCCTCCTCTCCCCCCGCCTACCCACAGCAGTAGCAAGCGCCAGCAAGCTGCCAAAAGTTGCCACTCGGTCCTGCCCCATCAGCTGGGCGTGCTGGCGCTGCAGGCGCAGCCTCGGGATCTCCACATCCGCAGCCATTCTGGGCACGCCAAAGGGCTGCTCGCGCCGCCGCTTGTTTGCCTCCATGACGCTCTGTGCGTTGGATGGCAGGCCCTTGGGGGATGTTGCTGTTGGAGCCCAGATCTTGACCGTTGATTCGATGCCACTGGTGGCGAGGATGGTGGCTGATGGGTGGGGCTCTAGACAGTTGACCACCTGAGAATAGGGATGGTGGGGACGTGGGGGGGAGATGAGCAAGTAGGGACAGAGGAAGGAGGGACGGAGTGGGAAAGAGAGCAAGGAGCTTGATTCTTTGTGGACGGTTAGGTTCTATGGCAGGGGGCTAGGGTTACTCATGGACCCGGGGACCCCATGGTGGAATGGAGGATGACCCAGGGAGGGGGACATGGGGGAGGAGGAGGAGGAAGGAAGAGGAGTGGGGAGAAACGGAGGGGACAAAGGCAGGTGGGGAAGGGGGAGAGGGGGAGGGAGCACAGTGCTGCGGTGGGGAGAGCAATGGGCCAGCATAGGGGCACGGTTGTGCACGGCTGGGTGGCTTGCGCAGAGGATGGAGCATCGGCTTACAAATGCCCTCACTCTCTCACAAGCACATCATCCCCATCCACTCACAAGCACCCCCACACCCCCCTCCAAATTACAAGCCCCCCACATCTCATAAGCCACGAGCTGGATATGTGCGTGTTTCATTTCAGCATAAGCGATTGCGGCCAGAGAGACAACTTTTAAGGTGCCTCACAAACTCATTCCGCTCACATGCACCCCCCATGCACTCACATGAAACTCCCATGCACTCACATGAAACCCCCATGCACTCACATGAAACCCCCATGCACTCACATGAAACCCCCATGCACTCACATGAACCCCCCATGCACTCACATGAAACCCCCATGCACTCACATGCCCCACCAATCCACTCACATGTCCACCCATGCACTCACATGCACGTCGCCAGGCATCATGGCCACGAGCTGCCCCCCAACCTTCCTCCACAGAAACACATGTCCGCAGTCCGACCCACTCGCCACGTACTCGCAGCGCGGCCCAAAGAACGACACGCCCTTCACCGTCTTCTCGTTGCGGTGCCCTGAATACACCTCTATCCTGTCCCCATACGCACCCGCTGCTTCCTCCTCTTCCCCTTCCTCTTCCTCCTGCTCCTCACCTTCCTCCTCATCGTTTTCTGCCATGTGTGCTACTCCCTGCCCCTCCCTGCCCACCTGTCCGTACCCTACCCTTCCTTGAGCTACGTGCGTTCGCTCGCCCCACATCTCCCCCTCATCCCTCTCACCCTCATCCCTCTCACCCTTGTCCCTCTCCCTCGCATCACTCTCTTCCATCTGCTCACCTCCTTCCCTCCTATTACCCTCTCTACTACCCCTATCATCCCCTGTAGCATCACACTCTCGTCTCCTCTTATCTCCCATCTCTCTTGCTCCTCCATCCCCCTCTTCTCCCCTGCCACGCACCACTGCCTCCTCCATTCCATCCCTTGCAGCAGCAGCAGCAGCAGCAGCAGCAGCGGCAGCAGTACCGACACCATCAGCAGCACATGCATCAGCAAGTGGTGCGACAGCAGAGGCAGACGCTGCCCCTGAGGCAGTATGAAACGTGCGCTGCAGCCAGGAAAGACGACGAGGACGAGCTTCACTCGAACCATCACCAGGAGTAGCAGGAGAAGATGCAGCAGCAGCAGCACCACCACTGCTGCTACCGCTGCCACCTTCCCCACCAGCACCTAACCTCTCATCACCACTGCGACTTTGTCCGCTGCTGCCCCTGCCCCCAACACTCCAATCCCCACCAAAACTGCTCACAACCCGCTTTCTGCTGCTGCCCCCCCCACTCCTGCCCTTGCCAATCCCACCACCACTGCCGCTGCTGCCGCCGCCGCCGCTGCTGCTGGTGGCGGTGCTTAAAGCCCGGAAGCCAGTGGTGCGAGTGGCAGTGGGCATGGAGAGGGGGTCGGGGCCGAGGGAGTGGTGTGGGTGGAAGAGGTAGATGAGCTCGTCGTTGTATGAGGCTAGCAGCTCGTCGTGTGGCGAGTAGGCCACACATGTTATGTGCACCTGGTGATGGGATGGGATGGGGTGGGGTGGGGTGGGAGGGGGTGGGATGGGATGGGATGGGATGGGGTGGGTGGGGAGGACGGATGAGATGAGCAGAGGAGAGGAGTTAAGTAAGTGGGAGAGAGGAGAGGAAGAGAGAAGGGTTAGAAGCTAGAATGCATGCTATGTGTACCTAAGTGCATGTCTGTACCCGCTCGGATCTAACACACGGAACGCTTGAGAGAAGTGAACGGAAGGAAAGAAGAGGAGAGGAGAGGCGGAAAAAGAAGACATGAAAGGAGAACGGAGGGGAAGGGAGAAAAGGGAGGAGAAGGGAAACGCACTTGCGAGTGCACACAAGAACACACAGTGAGTGCACCAGGTGCAACAGACCAGACATCCCCAACGCCCACGATTTTAGTCACAACCATGTATAGGAGGCTTACAGGAAATGACTTTTCAGGGCACATCAAAAGCCACGATTTTGGTCACGAGCATGTGTAGGAGGAGGCTTACAGGAGGGCGCAGGCGGTCACGGTTGGTGTTGATGAGGTGGGGCGGTGCAAAGGTTTCCACGGGCGAGGGACAGGCGCAGGCGATAGGGGTGGCAGGGGTGGGAACGGTACGGCGGGCCATGCACCTGAGATGAAGAGAGGAATGAATGGGGAGACGTATGAAGATGGGTGGGGGTGGATGTGTGTGTGTGTGTGTGTGTGTGTGTGTGTGTGTGTGTGTGTGTGTGTGTGTGTGTGTGTGTGTGTGTGTGCGCGTGTGTGTGTGTGTGCGTGTGTGTGTGTGTGCGTGTGTGCGTGTGTGTGTGTGTGTGTGTGTGTGCGTGTGTGCGTGTGTGTGTGTGTGCGCGTGTGTGTGTGTTTGTGTGTGTGTGTGCGCGCGCGCGTGCATGCATGTCAAGCATGAGTGCATGTGTGCATGTGTAAACCGTCGACTCGCCAGCACAAGCACACACTGACCAAGTAACCAAGTCACCAGCATGCTACTCCATACTCACTAGCACCCACACCCAACCACTTGCACCCACACCCACCTCCTCAAATCGTAGACACGGGCGAACTCGTCCGCTCCACCCACAGCAAAGAGGTGCGGGCGGGCGGGATTGTGTGCAACAGCGTTGAGCGGCAGGGGCTGCCGTGCTCGCATGGCGGGTGTGGTGGTCACTGTGAGGACTCGCGTGCTGGGCTTTGGGGCTCGTAGGTCGAACTGACGTGGGGCAGGGGTAAGGGAGGGAGAAAGGATGGGAGAAAGGAAGGAAATGATGGGACGGTTGTTCGTGAACCACGCGCTTAGCCGTATCATATCATATCGTGTTTTGCTGCACGGGCACCCGTCGTCACACAACCACTCACACACACGCCATCCAACATCAACTCTACATGCCACATCAATCACCCTCCCCTGCCACACACACGCCATCCTCACTCCCTCCCCTTCTTTCCATCCCCTCCCCCTCTAATTCCCCTGTCTACCCACGCACATGCCGCAACACCCCATCCTCCCCGCCGATGAGCAAGAAGAGTGTCGAGTGTGGCAGCACACCAACAAGGTGACTTTTGAGTCGACTCAAAAGTCACCTCAATGAGCAGGAAGAGTGTCGAGTGTGGCAGCACACCGACAAACCAAAATCCCCGGGCCCCCTCCCCTCCTTTCCCTCGTCCTTCTCCCCCGGTTCTCCCCACGCACATGCCGCACAACCCCATCCTCCCCGCAGCTGAGGAAGCAGAGTGGCGAGTGTGGCAGCACGGCCAGCTTGTGTGCCCGCCCCCTGTGCCTCGCCAGCCGCACCGTGCCCACCGCTGCACTCTCCGACAGCAGACTCACTCGCACCTGGTGTGGGTGCGGGTGGTGGTGGAACGGGGAAAGGGGAAGGGGTGAGGGAAGAAGGGAGAGGGGGTTGGAGGAGATACGCTTGGTGTTTGTGTATTGCTGCACTACCCTCTCAACCGCTCTCCCTCCCCCCGCCCCCAGCCTATCAGCCAACCCCATGAATCCTCCCCAGCCCCCGTCCCCCTCAACCAACCTGGCCATCAGCAGCGCACGTGACAATAGTCCGGTCGTTCCCACACGGCAGGGCGCGCGCCTGGAACACGTTGTTGCCATGGCCCGAGCGCCACTTGAGCACCTCCCTGGCCGCGGCCCAGTCCCAGAGCACAATGCGCTGGTCGTCTGAGCCCGAGAGGAGATGGGCGCCGGATGGGGTGAAGGCGACTGTGTTGACACAGCCTCGGTGGGAGGCGAGGACTGACGCCAGGGCGAGACGGGACACCAGCGCCTGGTGGGAGTGGCGTAGGGGAAGGGGAAGGGAAGGGGAGGAGGGAGGGTTAAGGGGTAAGGGGAAGAAGGAAGGGGCAAGGGGCAAGGGGGGGAAGGGGAGGGGGGAAGGTGGAAGGGGAAAGGGGGAAGGGGGAAGGGAGGAGGGGGAAGGGGAAAGGAAGGGAGGAAAAAAGAACAGAACGGGGAGAACAGGGAGAGGGAGGGGCAGCAGACTATTCGGCAAGGCGAGGAGATGAGATGGGAGCTGGGCGGAAGGGGGCGCGAAGAGGGGAAGAGAAGAAGCGGAGAGATGGGAGCTGGGGAAGGACAGGGTGACGGTGACGGGTAAAGGGAGCATCGTGAAGTTGCCTCCTTTGACGGAATCCATCGGTTCTGACCGCGAGCTCAAGAGCATGTGACGCGAGGGCTGACGAGCACAGGGCGTAAGAGCGTGAAGCAAGTGCGACACGACTCACGTCCGAGCCACCTGCTGCGCGAGCGAATGAGAGCGGCGTGCGGCGACCGGTCTCGCGCTGCCACGCATCACGTAACCCGTAAGAGTATAGCGGCACGGGACCCGCCCTGCGTCCTCCCCCCCAACGCCTCGCCGCGCCGCCAGTTAATCTCCAAGTAGCTCCCACTGCCTTGCTCCCTCCGAGCCGCGAATCGCATCTCCTTTCCAACGTCATGAACAATACTTCTCAGCGTACTTTAATCACACGGGAAAGGTGCGGTCGGGATTGTCTCAAAGCGCTACTACCAGGAATGTCTGGGTTTCCCAGCAAGGCTGCCCTCAAACCGGAGCATGACTTGTTCTTGGTTCACGGCAGAATTTTCTTCCTGATGGCGTTCGTCTGAATTCCAACAGCCAATATTTTCCACAAGCGCGGCTTCGCTGCAAGTAGATGAGCAAATAAATGCATTGGTGTTACGGGTGCAATGAATCGAAGTAGCGAGAATTGCACTAAGGTGTCAAACGAGTACAAAATGTGAGCGAAGGCATGAGCGAACATTTATACGCGAAACATGCAAAACGGTAACGCGGTGCGTGCAAGCTTGCTAGTGCTACGCTGGAGCGAGGCTCGGGCTAGTCCCGAAGCGTAGGCCGATACGGCCATGCCAGCAGTGCGAGGTTTGGCAAAACGGTGCGCGCGAAGTCGGCGAAGTTCCGTTAGCAGTAACGGGCGAACAATCGGCTGTTGCTGTACGCGATGTAGTCGGCTCCGTAAGGAATGCCGAGAAAATTCCTTACACTACCCCCCCCCCTTAAGAAGCCCCCTCCGCTACGCGAGTGCGTGTATATCGCGGAATCCCCGGCTCCTCAGGTACACTTGCAGGGCAGGGTGATTTTCGATGTTGCTCAGGGGCACCCAGCTATCTTCAGTTGGCGTGCGGTCTTTCCAGCGAACGAGGAATTCAATCCTCCTGATTCCCGTGGGGTGGCGGATCCGATGGCTCAGAATTTTTTCGGGCTCGATGATCGGCTCTGATGCAGGGCGAGTCATTGATTGTGGCCGGTGACGCGGCAATTGACTTGTGGTCGGGATGTATGGGCGAAGTAGGCTGACGTGGAACGAAGGGCTGATGTACCAGTCGGTTGGCAACAGTAGGTGCGCGGTGACGGGTGTGATCATGTGACTGATTTGGAATGGTCCACAGTAGCGTGGTCGTAATTTTGGTACGTCGGGCAGTCGCAGATTTTGCGTGTCAAGCAGCACGTAATCCCCAGATTGGTACGTGACAGGGCGGCGGTGGCGATCAGCGTTGCGCTTAGCGATGACGTTGGCCTTTTTTATTGCTTCGGCGGCTCTGGCGCGGGCAGCTTGCAGGACTTCGGCGAATTGTTGTGCACGTGGCGTTGGGTTGTCCGGACTCGGCGTCATGGGCACTGTGGGGTTTTGCCCATAGTTCAGGTAGAACGGGGACTGCTGCGTCGTGGCTGATGTGGCGTTGTTGTACGCGAACTCGATCAGCGGCAGCTGCTGCTCCCAGGTCGTGGGGTCGTCGCACGTGGCACGAATCAACTGCTCCATCGTCTGATTCGTCCGCTCCGTTTGGCCGTCGGTCTCGGGGTGGTACGACGAACTGAACTGTAGCCTGGTCCCGAACTGCTCCCAGAGGTTCTTCCAGAAGTTGCTGGTGAACTTCGTGTCCCTGTCGCTGATAATTGCTGCTGGTATCCCGTGCAGGCGAACAACGGCTGCGATGAACAGGCGAGCGGTCTCTTCGGCTGAGATCGACTTTTTGCACGCAGCGAAGTGTGCCATCTTCGTCAACCTATCCACGACGACCATCACCGCGTTGTTACCCCCAGGGTTCGAAGGTAACCCTGTGACGAAGTCCATGGTTACTTGCTGCCAGGCGCGTTCGGGCGGTGGGATCGGCTGTAATTGACCCGCCTTCCGCTTCCTTGAACTCTTCATCACCTGACACGTCGGGCACGAGCCCACGTGCTGCTGTACGTCGGTCAACAGCTCCGGCCAGTAATAATACCGCTGCAGTTGCTGTCGCGTTTTTTCTACCCCGAAATGTCCCGAGGTAATCCCGTCGTGTGCCTCCTGTAGTAGCAGCTCCCTCAGTAGTGAGTACGCGGGTACCCAAATGCGGTTGGTGCCTGTTTTTACGTAATAGACTCCTTTTGCTTCTGCCAGTTGCTGTGAATTTCCGGTCGTGAAGAATGGGTCGGTGCGGTATCCGTGGGTGAATAGGCCAGTTAAAAGCGGGTTGGTCTGGGCGAGTAGGATGGCATGGAGTTGGGCGGTGGGGCGGGTGAGAGCGTCGGCGATGTTGGATGCACCCTTTTTGTACGTAACGGTGTAGTGAAAATTGGACTCGAGATAGTCCAACCAGCGAATCTGTCGTGGGTTGAGATTCGGTTGGGCGCGAAGATACTGTAGCGAGCGGTGGTCTGTCCGTACTGTCACGTCGGCGCCAATCAGGTAACATCGCCAAACTTTGAACGCGTGCACGATCGCTAGCATCTCGCGGTCGTGTATCGGGTAGTTACGTTCGGGCGGGTGTAACTTGCGGGACTCGTACGCGATTGGCTGGAGGCCGTTCCCGAAGTCCTGCAACAGTACTGCTCCCACAGCGATGTCACTTGCGTCGGTGACGAGCTCGAACGGACGGTGGGGATCTGCAATGTGAAGGACGGGCGGGGAGCACAAAATATTTTTGAGGGCCGAGAAGGCAGCTTGCTCTTTCTCCCCCCATGTGTACTCAACCCCCTTCCTCAGCAGGTCGGTCAACGGGGCAGTCAGCTTCGCCATGTCGGGGACGAACCGGCGCACGTAGTTGACGAACCCCAGGAAACTCTGCAACTCGGTCAAGTTGGTCGGCGCGTGCCAAGCCTGAATCGTCGCAATTTTCTTCGGGTCTATTTCCACTCCTGCAGCTGAAATAACATGTCCCAAAAACTCCAGGCGATCCTGTAAAAACTCACACTTAGATGCTTTGGTCAGTAGGCGGTTCTCACTCAGGACGTCTCCATCGGGGCGGACGACGCCATCACTGGCCGCGCTCGCGGGTTGCCCCACACTCCCGTGTTGTGATGTTGAGGGTGCGGGTTGAATCGGAGTGCCAGGTGCTTGAGATTGTGCTCTCAGGAGGTCATTTTGCAGTGATGAGCGTTCTGCCGTCAATGCCGCGATTTCCTCGGAGCTTTCGTGCAGTTGTCGCAGCAGATCGTTCAAACGCTCCTGCGTGAGAGTGGTGACGTCGATGTTTTCGGCCATGACGAAGGGCGTCGGCTCGTCTTAGTCTAGGCGCAGTCGTGGCTGCACGCGTTTACGAGAGAACGCGAGGACAGCGGCTCCTAGGGGCTAAGGTGCGTGAGTCCTTTCGAGTGAAAAATCAAAAGTTGATTTCCTGGTGTGCGGAGATGCGCGGTCCGAAAGAAAGGGGCTCTGATAACAAAGTGTTACGGGTGCAATGAATCGAAGTAGCGAGAATTGCACTAAGGTGTCAAACGAGTACAAAATGTGAGCGAAGGCATGAGCGAACATTTATATGCGAAACATGCAAAACGGTAACGCGGTGCGTGCGAGCTTGCTAGTGCTACGCTGGAGCGAGGCTCGGGCTAGTCCCGAAGCGTAGGCCGATACGGCCATGCCAGCAGTGCGAGGTTTGGCAAAACGGTGCGCGCGAAGTCGGCGAAGTTCCGTTAGCAGTAACGGGCGAACAATCGGCTGTTGCTGTACGCGATGTAGTCGGCTCCGTAAGGAATGCCGAGAAAATTCCTTACAATTGGTTTGGAAACACCTCGGTGCTGTTCGCCAGCACCATTATATCCAAAAATCACGGGATAACGACGGGATCAGGAAGGTGGGTCTCGCCTTCCTGATCCCGTCAGTTAGAGTTCGTTAACCGCCGTCAGCTTGGTCAGCCCGTGAAAAAAGTGCCGAGCCTCACCTACCGTCCAAACCAACAAACTAAGTGGGCATCTGGCGAACGCCCACTTTTCTCCACCAAATCTAACAGCTCGACGACATCTGGAAGCGGGGACGAAACTTCTTCCCCAGGCAAAATGCCATTCCCTAGCCATGCCATCGTCATGCCGCGTTTTTCAAAGCACAGCGGTGGCACAACCGACGCATTGCTGTTCAGAGGGTAGCCCTTGAACAAGCCTGCAGTTTAACAAAGGGGGGTTCGTATACCCCCCATTTTTCCCTCTCAAACACACCGTGGCGGGGGTTGTGTTTGAGCGGGGTGTGTTTTATTTGCGTTTTTTACCCACGTTGAGCAATTTTTGGTCAGCAGGCAGCACAAGGGTCAGGGATGAGCAAATTTCGCGCCACTGGGGGGAAGGTGGGGATGGACCTTCCCGATGCGGTTGAGAAATTTCGCCTTTCGGGCTCGCGTAGTTTCTTGGGCGGCATTTCGCCCAAACCTCGGAGGAGGGTTCCGCCCCCGTTTCCATATGCGGTCGCGATGCTGATGCCATCGTTTTCTGTTGAAGAAACGATTTGCTGGCGAACAGCACCCTTATGGTGTGAGATCACAAATCCTTTCATTTCCCTTGCTGGTGCATGCTTGCAGGGGTGTTGCAGAGACAAAATTCCCCTTTTCTTTTTCACTTCATACAAGGAACAATATGACATCATATTTTCAAGCAGAAAAGATAACCACACTAATGGACACAAAATGTTTTCACAACCTAACGAGAGCAGTTAGAAAATAGAAATTTCTGCACCATTCCTCGTGCTGAAGTTAGAGCTCCTAGGTGAGGCTGCTCCATCGTGGTTACTTCGATGAAGCAGCAAGAGGGTGGAGTCATAGTGGTGAGGATTGAACCACCCCTGTAGCCTAGTTTCGTAGTTCCTGCAGTGGTGAAAGAAAAGACACGAGAGATTAAACAGCAGTAGCAGCAGCAGATTAAATGCCATCCAGTCTCACCAGAACCTCTACCTACCAACCCTCTTCACTTACTCTTCCCTAATACATACGTATGTATGCACACGTGCACACACACATGGCACTCACATACACACATACATGCAAAGTAGCACGCGTGCACGCACATGAACACGCGCACACACACTTGCACACACCCACCTACCCACCCACCCACACACACACACCCACAGACAGAGAGAGAGAGAGAGAGAGAGAGAGAGAGAGAGAGAGAGAGAGAGAGAGAGAGAGAGAGAGAGAGAGAGAGAAAGAGAGAGAGAGACACACACACACACACAACACACACACACACACACAAGCCTGCTCATTTCCACTGTCCTTGAACAAAGCACCCTTAATTCACCGCCCATGAGCACGTCACAACCTGTACCCTCTTGAACACTGCCAGAAAACACCCACTACCTCCTCCCCCCCCCCCCCCCCAACCGCGCCCCCTTTTCCCCTGGCTTCCTCCCTTCCAACTCCCACGGAGCCTTCCCAAAAACACTACCTCTCAGAGGGCCCAGGATGACCTCAGCATGAACGCAGTGTGCCGCCCAGTCCTCTCATTCTGCGCCACCACCACCCCCGGCTGCAGCACCAGCCCCCTCCCGCACTTCACCCGCATAAACGCCTCCGCCTGCACCTGCCCCGCGCCCGCCGCGCCCCCCTCGTTCCCCTCCCCGCTCTCCCCGCCCACCATCCCCGTGCTGCTCGACTCCGCGCCCCCTCCCAGGAAAAACGCATCTGGCTGCGTGCCTCCGATGCACGCTCCCAGCGAAATCCTGTCCGTCCATTTCCCCTTCTTACCCTTCCCCCCACCGGCTTTCCCGCTCGCCCCATTCCCACTGCTTCCGCCCGTCCCGCCGTTCCCCGCCTCGTCCTCCGCCCTGCCCTTCCCCTGCACCAGCAGAGACACGGACCACTGCAGCTTCCGCCGCGCGTCCTCGTCCAGGCAGTCCCCGTTCTCCGCCTGCGCCCATGCCGCAATAGTCGCCGCACCGAGCTGCACCGCGCCCGACACCGCCACCGACTGCACCATAGTCGCGGGCTCCTGATCAGGCGGAAGCCACAGCTCCTGCCCCACCACCCCGCTGCTGCTCTCCGCTCCGCCCATCCCAGAGCTCCCATCCCCGCTCCCCGCGCTTCGACCCGAGCCTGCCTTCTTCAGCTTGCCGAGCCACGGCAGCAGCTTCGGCACCACGAGCGGGCCCATCTCGCTCCAGTGCAGCCCCGTGGCGGAGGGAAGCGGCGGGGAGGGCCAGAGGCGGTTGAGCGCGGACATGGAGAGGACGACGTTATCCTGGGGCTGGAGGGACAGTTGCGCCAGGGACGACGCGCACAGCCCCGCGGATTCCCCCTCGGGGTCCTGCGAGACCCCCCAGCCGGAGAGGAACTGCGCGGCGGTGAACGAGGCGGCGGAGTTGCGCAGCGAGAACGCGAGCGCGGAGCCCCTCGCGCGGCGGTGCAGGGAGATTCCGCCGGACGAGAAGCGCGTGAGGCCCTGGTCCTTGAGCGGGTTCATGCCTTCCGCCATGTCCGACCCAACGGCTCCTAAAGGCGCCACGGCCAGCTGCACGCCGTCGCATAACTTAGTACTGTAGAGGATTTTATGAATGTTAACGGGGCCGCCCAACATGAAGCTGCTGCTGTCTTCTCCTAGGCCGGCCGTCAGCTCAGTCGACAGGAGGTCGTCGTCGCGGCAGGTCGTATCGAATCTGAACTTCACCGTCAGTCCCGATCGCATGCCCGCCTGTTCTAGCGCCGCGCGCGTGCTGTGGCTGCGCGCGCCCTCCGTCGGAACGAACGCTCCGCCCGCCGCGATCTCCCCGTGCAGGCGCGTCCGCCCCGCTCCGCCCAGCACGCTCCCCGCGCCTGCACCGAGCCCGCCCCACACGCCGCTCTCCTCGCCGATCCCGGCAATCCCCGTGCCAAACGCGCCCGCGGTTGCGCCGAAGGCTGCGGCGGAAGCGGAATACACGGACCCCGCGGAGGGGCGCGGGGAGCGGCCATCGGGGGACTGGCGCACTCCGGAGAGGAACTCGAGGCGGTGGAGGCGGTCTTTCACGCGCAGAAGATCCTGAAACGCCTCGCGCTGCAGCCTGCGGAGCGCGCTTACCTCCGACCGGTGCGCGAATGCGTCGTCCGCGGAACGCTTGTCAAGTATCTGCACGACGAGGTCCGCCGTTTCCGCCATCAGCGCTTGCCGGTCGACGCGGTCTTGCATGCCGTCGAGACGCGACGCGAGCATCGAGTGCAGCAGCCCCGCCATCCAATCAAACATGCCGTCCGCGCGACGCATGCGCTCGTCGTCCGGCCGCCTCCGCCTGCTGCTGATCGTTCCGCTGCTCAAGCTGCCCGCGGAGCTGCTGTTTCCCCCTCCGGCGCTGGCCGCAGTAGCGCTGTCGTCGCCGCCGGCGCCGGCGCGACCGGCGGAGCCGGCTACGGCGGAGAGCGACGCGAAGAGCACGTCGGGGGGGTAAGTGTTCAGTAGCGTGGCACCGGCGACGCCGTTCCCGCTTGCTCCGTGGCGTCGGCGGCTGCTGGATCGGCGCTTGGGAAACTCTCGCCACGCCGGGTCGCGGCTTTCTGTTGGCGTTTTGCCACCAGAAGCATCCCTCGCAGCAGCATCGGCAGTCGCGACGCGAACGGCACTAGCGCTCTTGCCGACTGGGCTCACTGGTTCGGAAATGCCATCCGGGTTGTCTGCCTCGTCCACATCATCGTCATCTTCATCCACGTCAGCGTTGGAATACGGCGAGTCGTTTCCAGGTCGTTGCGTTCCTCCTGGACCTCCACTCCCGCCGCCTCCTCCTCCTCCGCCGCCTCCATTGCCGCCCTGTCCGCTACCGCCTCCTCCTCCTCCTCCTCCAGCATTGGTCTGGAGCGACTCGGACCAGCCTAGCTCGCCTTGGCCAAGACTACCGTACGCGTGGCTGCCCGAAAACGCGGATGCGGGGCCAGATGCCAGCAGGAGCGCGCCAAGCGGCGCGGTCGCGATGATAACGGACTTCATAAAATGGCCTGCGAAGGCGGTCTCTTTAGCCTTTCCATATGGAAGCCTGCAGTCCGCATCGTCCGCGGATTTGTTGTTGGCAATCGCAGCAACGGGGGCAGGAGGTAGACGGAGAGACGTGAGAAGGCATGTGCGTGCGGGAGCGGGAACCGACAGCGGGCGACTCTTGAGGCATCCTACTCTGTGAACAGGTTCGGTTGGCGCGAGTGTGGCTGGAGCTGAGGGTGAGCCGCAGCGCAATGCTGGTGGCAGCAGCGACCTGGAGGTCGCGGCAGCCATGGCGTGAAGGGCGGAGGGTTGTTAGAAGAGTATTTCTGATGTGCTCCACGGTATAGAAAGGATCAACAGATCGATACCTCGCGTTTGGTAGGCAGCCAAGGGTCGTTGATACCGAGCGAAAGTGATAATTGCATGTGACAGGCAGGGGCGAATCGAGGTTGTAAGGGTGGGGGGGGAGGAAGAATGACAGCTTGGGTGGGATGGGGGAGGAGAGAGAGAGCAAGAAGGGAGTGATGAAGGGGAAGGGGTCACGGGGGATGGGTTGGTGGTGGCGGGAGCAAGGGGCTTCTGTTATTCTGGAGTGGGAGAGAGGGGGACAATGAAAGGGGGGAAATTACTGTCAAGGAAGAGATGCAGAATTTGGCGCGAACTGGCGATGCGACGCTTTGATTGGCTTAGAAGAGGACGAGAGCGGATCGTGGCTGGGCGTGCGGAAAGATGTGGGGGTAGGGTGTTGGGGTGGCCCGTGGGGCACTTCACCACCAAGCTCTTTCGACTTGGAAATTTAGAAACGAAACCACCATACCCGTGGAATGCAGACCCTCGACTTTGACTACCACGGTACATTATAAAATACACTGGGTTTGGCTGTAATCACCAGACGTTGGGTTCCGCTAAGCTTTTTCATCGAGGGGTGGAATGGCAGGGAAACTGTTGTTATCAAAGCCTGAATAAAGTTACCCCAGACTCGACCTGTTACCCGTCGCAAAAGTGCTTCGCAGCTCCGGCTCGCGAATTCCCGAGAGTTGACAGCACTCGCCGCAATTCCACGGATTCCACGACGCCAGCACCACGATGAAGGTAGTGGCGGGAAATTTTTGAAATTCGCGTTTCACCAAGATATGCAACCACGTTCCCGCCTAAAAACGCCATCTCAATGGTAAAATGAAACAAAAGAATGTATATCCACCAATAAGAGGTTTCGCCAAAATATGTAACAACGTTAAAAACATAAAAACGCGTATTGATACTACAGACACCTGCATTTACATCCACACATTGTAGGTAATCCACTATACCAAACTCGTCTGGCTTGACTACACTTTGCCCGCGTCTTTGAACGGCACATTAGTAACTTATTCAGAACATAAATTAGGGATATTTTGACTTGTTGGGCACCATGTAGGGACTGCACAGTTGTATGGCCTGAAGGTTCCAAAACGGATGCCAATCTGAACCAACAATTGGGGTCATGCGTCGCTCGAGAGTCCTCCGCTGCTCCTGGCCCCCTGGGCGCGCGCAATCTCCATGCTGAGGTTGACATTCTCGGAGCTCTCGAGCTCGCGGTCAATGCGCGCCGCCATGCGGTCCTCGTCCTGCCCGAGAAACTCCTCCTTCATGACGAGCAGCTCGCCGAGCACGCGGCTGATGGAGGGGCGCGAGGCGGTGGGCATGACGGTGCAGCGCAGGGCGAGGCGGGCCATGCGCAGCACCAAGTCGTCCGGCGCCTCCAGCTGCGGGTCCCTCATCGCGCCCGCGTCGCCCGCTGCCACCAGCGGAGCCACCCACTGCTTGAGGTTGATCTGATCTGCCTCCGCGTTGTAGATCGCCTTGCGAGCAGTGATGAGTGTCAGCATCACCACTCCAAAGCTGCGAGCGAGAGCAAGTGCACGCGCATTAGGCACAACAGCATGGCAAGTGTGCTGCAGTGCAGATTTTGTTTTTTTTAGAAAAAACAGAAGTGTTATTTCCAAATATGGTACCTGTGCACGTCAGCCTTTGGCGTGGCCTTCTGTGACTTGTAGTAAGCCGGGTCCACATAGCCCGGTGTGCCCATCACCCGCGTGGCAATCACCGACGTGCCCTCGCCATGCCTCACCAGCCCAAAGTCCGCTATCTTGGGCTGCAGCGGGGGGAATTCAAGACGAATAAATTCCACTAAGGACCATCACTTCATGGACGACTGGCAGCTGCAGACCTACCGGTAGGAGCGAGGGCTAAAAAATAGTAGATTCTGGTGTCCAGTGACCTGCATGTTGGTGTGCACTGACCTGCATGTTGGTGTGCACTGACCTGCATGTTGGTGTGCACTGACCTGCATGTTGGAGTGCACTGACCTGCATGGTGGTGTGCACTGACCTGCATGTTGGAGTGCACTGACCTGCATGGTGGTGTGCACTGACCTGCATGTTGGCATCCACTGACCTGCATGTTGGCATCCACTGACCTGCATGTTGGCATCCACTGACCTGCATGTTTTTGTCGAGCAGGATGTTGGCGGGCTTGATGTCGCGGTGCACGATGCCAAAGCTGTGGAGGTACTCGAGGCCGCGGGCCATGCCGATCAGAATGTCCAGCCGCACTCGCACCGCCAGGGGGTGGGGGCTCCCTGCACGACAGAAGGCATCATGCATGTGCAAAACTGAACAATCGTCAAAGTTCAAGTAGACCAATGCGGAGGAGAGCATAAGGCAGGGCAGTATGGCAGGGCAGTATGGCAGTAGTGAAGAGAGAAGGGCTCATGGGGGCCGATCCTGTGAGCCTTTAAGGGAAGCATGGGGCTCACAGGGTCCGATCCAGCGGTCGAGGCAGCATCATGGGGCCCGATCTATTGTACCAGGGCCTGGAAGCGTTAGTGTTAATGAGCTCACGCGGGCCGATCCAGCGGTCGAGGTCGCCGTTGTCAATGAACTCATAGATGACGATCTGCTCCATGCGCTCCGTGTCCGGGCTGATGTCGAAGCAGTACCCCATCAGCCTCACCAGGTTTGGGTGGCTCTTCGTTGCCATCTTGTTCACCTACGCACCGTCCAGGGGGGGGGGGGGGGGGGGGGAGGAGAGTAAAAGATTGAAGGTTGGAGGGGAGCGAGGGAGCGACCATAGATGCGACTCAATGTTGCAGCCTGCACATGAGATTCGGTACGATCGCACATGAGATTCGGTACGATCGCACATGAGATTCGGTACGATCGCACATGAGATTCGGTAGGATCGCACATGAGATTCGGTAGGATCGCATATGAGATTCGGTAGGATCGCATATGAGATTCGGTACGATCGCATATGAGATTCGGTACGATTTCCTATGCATCATTCACCGAGGTAGTGCGTGCAGCTCACCTCGCGTTTGAAGTCGTTGGTGAGGACCTTGGCGCGTTTGACGGCCCAGGCCTCATGGGGAGCGGTGGGGTTGGCGCCCTTGTACACATCCCCGAAGCTGCCGCTGCCAATGCGCTTCGCCTCCGCCCACTCGCCCGTCGCTGCCGCCACCTCCGCCAGCGAATACTGCCGGCACACCATAGGCCGCGCCTCCGTTCCCCCTGCGCCCATATTCCCCCCCGTTGCACCCACTGCCGCTGCCGCTGCTGCGCCTCCTGCTGCAGCAACGGCGGCTGCGTGTGCTGCTGCTGCCTCGGCGGGGGAAGGAGCAGCAGCTGCCTGCCACGGCCACCTCCACCCTCCCCCTGCTGCCCCTCCTGCCTCAGCCGCTCGTGCAACTGCTGCTGCTTCCTTTCCTTCTCCTGCTGCTGACGCTGCTGCTGCTCCCCCCTCCTCCCTCTCCCCCTCACTGCCTCCGCCTTCCATCCTCTCCGCCTCCCCCTCTTCCTTGCTCTCCTTCTCCCGCCTCTCCTTCTCCCTCTGCTCCTTAACGCGGGTGTAAGTCAGGTACACGATCAGCAGCAGCACAGGCAAGATGACCACAGACGCAACCACAATGCCAACGATGTCTGGTGAGGAGAGCGTTTTTTTGAAGTTCTGCCTCGTGGCTGCCACTGGAAAGAACAAATCAAAGAGGCAAAGGATCCACGACGACGACCGGTGGGTTTCGGGACGTGAGCGCACGAGGTATTTTTCAGGGGGATAGATTGGCGGGGAGTACAGAAGAGAGCATGCAGTCAAGCGAGCACGAGGGGCAGCAGCGCGGAGGCCAAACTCCTAAAGGTGCTTCAAACGTGAGCAGGCAGCAGCATGCGGCATGCCGACGTACTGTAGGAAGGGTTGCAAGTGGCACAGAAGCCCGGGCAGAAGCGGCAGAATGGAGATTTGCTATGTTGGTACATCGCACACTTTCCCTCGTTGATAGGACACGTGAAGTTATCCCAGTCGATGTTCCTGCCAGGGGACGATGGTGCAGTGCGAGTGCCATGCGGGGGGGAAGGGAGGGAAGTACCAATCAGAGACAGCTGGCAAGATGATGCTGTCAAGGCTGGAAGATGAGGTGACTTTTGAGTTGATTCAAAAGTCACCAAGATGCTCCCAAGGCTGGAAGATGAGGTGACTTTTGAGTCGATTCAAAAGTCACCAAGATGCTCCCAAGGCTGGAAGATGAGGTGACTTTTGAGTCGATTCAAAAGTCACCAAGATGCTCCCAAGGCTGGGAGATGACACGCCCCTTGGGAAGTACCAATCTGCATCTGATGACCCCTTGACTGAATCATGCCCAGCAGCGAACTCCATATGGCACAACAGAAGGTAACAATGTTCGTCCTCATGCCTTCGCTCTCTCCCTCAGTTATATTTCTCTCCTCTTCCTCTCGCCCTTCCTCCATCCCTCCATCCATCTAACCCTGTTCCATGCCCAATCTCTACTCGTTTCAGTGCAGTTCTCACAGGTTGTTAAACTTCCCAGAGGAGGCAGGAAGGGTCCCGGAACGCGAAGTAACATTGAGAGACAGCTGGAACAATTGCTTTCTCAAGGCTAGCAGATGGCAGGCCGCTTTTGTGAGTCATGCCCGTCTACATCTCCTTATGGCATGCTTTGAGACGTCTCAAAACATGCCCTTTTAAATCTCCTTATGGCATGGTCGTAATGATGTTCCTTCGCATGCCACCACACATGTTCCCCACTCTCTCCCTCCCTAACGTTTCTACCCCTCTCTTCTCGCACTTCCCCCCTCCATTCATCTGCCCCTGTTGCATGCCCCACCTCTACACGTTTCAGCGCAGTTTCTCACAGGTCGGTAAATTTCCCCAAGGAGGCGGGAAGGGACCCGGACAGCTGGTTGGATTGCAGTTGGCTGGGAGAGAAAATAGGGTGGCAGAGGGCATAAGGCATGGGAAAGCCGGCCAGGTGGAGCCGGTGGGAAGCTTCAAGATGGGTGAACTTGAGAGGATGGTTGAAGGGCAGCATATCTGCACAGATTTGGAATCTAATGCTTCACAGGACTTCCGATACAACAATACTTATAGAATATATGAGTTAAAGCCCCAGAAGTACAAGTAGTCTGATGCGCCAGGAATACTGCCAGTGAGCTGATTCTGTGAGAGGCCACTGCAGGTACGACACATGGAGTGGATATACTAGGAAACTTGAGAGGGCGAATGCGAACCTCGACTTGTTTTTGCTGCTGACCATCTCTTGTTACAATACTATCTTCACTTATGAAACCGTGTCTTCACACGGCGTTCTTTCCGCACGTATCAATGTGATACGCCCACCTAAGATCTCGCAGCTCAACTAAGTCATCAACGCTCAAGACTGAGATAGTCGGCAATGCTTGTGGAGGATGCATAGCAAACCTCTGCTTCTCACCCTCAGAACGTTTTCCGGAGCATGCTTACAGGTAAGTGAGTCTTGAGAGCTGCATAATCCCCCAAGGAATGCTGCCACTGAGCTGATTTCCCTTTAGTTCACTATGCACAGGATGTTGGGAGAAAAAAAAAAAAGAGCAAGTCACAGAGGGAGAAGAGACAGGGTGGAAAGAAGGCGATAAACGTTGGATAGCCTATGAGAGAAGTCAAGAAAAGACGAGCCGACTCACAGCCTTTGTAACGAGGTCAGGAAGGAATTTTCAGGCGCCTTAAAAGACGAGCGGACTCACAGATTTCTTAAATTGGTCAGAGTGGAGATGGAGTCCGGTATAGTCCCCATGAGCTTGTTGTTCGCCAGGGACCTGCCATGGCCGCACATGGCAGCAGCAGGCATGGCAAATTCTATACCGCCACACAGTCAAGGTACATGCGATTAAAGATAGACGAAGCACCCCCAAAGTCACCCGTGGGCATGAGCAGTGAGAATGGGTGGTGGTGGTGAGATTGACAAGGGGTGGTGGTGGTGAGAGGGACAAGGGGCGGTGGTGGTGAGATTGACAAGTGGTGGTGGTGGTGGTGGTGGTGGTGGTGAGAGGGACGTACAGTTTGGACATCGCAGTGAGCTTGCTGATGCTGTAGGGGATGCTGCAGCTGACCAGAGAGCGACCGCCGAGGTCTCTGAGGAAGGGATTTGCACGATGATGGCAAGCAAGTTCGTAGGCGACTGAACAAGTCTTGCATATTATGAGAGCAAGCGCCATGCAAGAGCCAATGCCATGCCATCCAGTCACGCCATCCCATGCCATCCAGTCACGAGATCTCAAGCCATTTAGATCCATGGAAAGGCAGTGGGCCCAGTGGTCCGACCGTTGAGTTGGGTGTGTAACTTTCAGGATGTAATTGTTGCAGTCGCAAAAGGCATGTGGCATGCGATGGGGCTGAGTGTGAGGTGCTGCCGCACGCTAACAAGACACATTTGATGCTGATGGAGAAATGCAACCCCATGCTATGGGGTGATAGATGATCGATGCGATGGGCCCACTCACAGCGAATTGACCATGCCGCGGTAGTCGCAGGAGACGCCTGGCACGGAGCAGTAGGACGGGCTGAAGGCGTCTCTCAGGCCGCACGGTACGAACTCTCTCATCACCTTGTCTGCGCAACCCACCGCAGGAGATGGGGAGGATAGAGGGGGATGGGGAGAGGACTACAGAGGTGACTTTTGAGTCGACTCAAAAGTCACCAGGATAGAGGGGGATGGGGAGAGGACTACAGAGAACGTCTCAGTCGCGTCGCGGCGCCCTGCCGGTCCCCCAGGCAACTTAGTTCTGCCCTTCCTGGAGGCACGGCGCTGCCCGAATATAGCTTCACATGAGGACTAGGCAGGGTGCAAGCGCATGGGAGGGAAGAGAGAGAGGGAGAGAGAGAGAGAGAGAGAGAGAGAGAGAGAGAGAGAGAGAGAGAGAGAGAGAGAGAGAGAGAGAGAGAGAGAGAGAGAGGGAGGGAGGGAGGGAGAGAGAGAGAGAGAGAGAGAGAGAGGGAGAGAGAGAGAGAGAGAGAGAGAGAGAGAGAGAGAAAGAGAGAGAGAGAGAGAGAGAGAGAGAGAGAGAGAGAGAGAGAGAGAGGGGGAGAGAGGGGGAGAGAGAGAAGGAGAGAGAGAGAGAGAGAGAGAGAGAGAGAGAGATGGAGAAAGAGAGAGAGAGAGAGAGAGAGAGAGAGAGAGAGAGAGAGAGAGAGAGAGAGAGAGAGAGAGAGAGAGAGAGAGAGAGAGAGAGAGGTCAACTTGACCATCGCGAAAAAGGAAAACTGCGTTTTTTGGCCCCCGAAGGTTTTTCTGCCTCTGCCTTGCGTGAATGTTGCGGAAAGCTGCGGTAAAACAACGCACGCAAATCGCAACATTCTGAACACCGGAAACGCGCGCGTACATCAGACACAAAAAACTGACATTACAGTATCCTTGTCGCAAAGCTATCGAATTCCCGGAGCGCACACCTACACCCCGAGTCGCGAACGTGTGCACAAATTTCCCGATGAAATTCCCGCGTTATGGTGACCGCGGTGCGTCCATTGTGTCAACTTATAACATCGGACCGTAAACGAAGTTCACGCGTACCGTCAAATGTCTCACAAGGTTCCCCAACTCATCCATTTTCATTAAAATCCTCCAACCACTATTACAACAGCAATACAACCCCAACCCCGTCATCCACAGGCGTACGGTACCGCACACACACAACGCCAACTACGCACACCACGCACAACGCACACACCGCACAACTTCAACCAACTGCATCACTCGTCGTCCTCGTCCTTGCGCTCCGAAGGGCCTGCCATGTCCTCCGTGCGCAGCCCCGCTCGCGCACGCTTAACTGGCGTCCTGCCGAGGCGGGAAATCACCTCCTGGTTAGATGCGCCGACCTCTGCTGGCACGAGGGCCGGGGGAATGCCGAGCTCATCGGCACGCTCCACGTACGCGTTTGTGACGTTGCGAATGACGCGCCGCCTGCTGCGCTCGTCCCGCAGCAGCGGGCCGTCTGGCAGGCTCATCTCGCCCGACGAGTCATCCGACGCGCTTGCAGCAGGTGTGGCAACGAACCCCTGCTCCACGCAGAGCCCCGCGTCGCAGTTGACGAACTCCGCCGCCGTCATGTAGCACGCAGGCCTCATCTTAAACTTCTCGATGAGCAACTGCAGCTCGACGCAAGTCGCAATGAGCGGCTCAAACATGCCCGTCGCGCTGGTGTCGTTCAGGTACGCCATCAGCGGCGGCCAGCTCGGCGGCACGCATCCGGCGCGCCACCAGCTCCTCTGCATGGTTGCAGCGCGCACACGGGTCCACGATTCCCCCAGCCACTCCAGCATGAGTCCGTAGTCCACGTCGGCGATAGAAGCGGCATAGTCGAACTGGAACCGCTTCGCCGCGATCGCCCGCTTCATCAGCATAACGCGGTAATGGGCCTTCAGCGCGTCCTCCACTCCCTGCAGGTGCGGAAGGCCCCCTTCGGGAACCGACCCACGTATGTTGACGACACGGGTGTTGGTGAGGTGCTGCACACTGAAGCCGTGCTCCGAGACGGGGCGCGCGACCTCGCCGGTGATGCGATGCGCCTCGTGTATGGTTAGGATGAGTGTGTTGCGATCACGACTAAAGTGCACACCGTTGACAGTCTCCACAAACTCCGTGAACACCTGCGAGCATAGCATCATACACCGACAGCACAACACCATCAGTGTGTTGGCCCACACATGTACGTTGCAAACATGACACAGACATGGTGCACAGCGAGGTGTAATTGTCACCTACCTCCGGAGTCAACCGGCCGCGGTGCGTATATCGGACTGCCACCATGCGCGATGCCGCGCGCCCCCGCCTGCGCTCGGGCCTATCGTACGGCGATAGGACCACCAGTGGCACCGCGGAACAACTGCCCGTCGCGTTGTAAAGAATGCCGATGCTGACAATCCGCTCGCAAACATTACGCTTGTCTGGAATGTATGTCTTCGGGAGGCGGCTCGGAAGAAAATTAATCTCGTAGAAGCAGAACACATCGTCCGGGTGCGCAGTAGCCAGCAGTCCCTTCAGGTCACCCATTGAAGCTGTGTGTCACCCAGGTGGGCAAGTATGCGTTGGGGGATGGCACCCAGTCTTGCTATATACGTTGTAGTTCACTGGAACGTACCCCGGTTTGCCCTCGTACGCACACTACGTACGAGGGTTGACAAGCGCCACACAAGTTTGCGAGCACAACTCCTGCGCCGCTCCAAGATAACGGACACATGTGAAACGGCCACCTGTGACATTCAGATAGGCCACCTCGCGAATCGAAGCCACGTACGCGTCACCCGTATCCGACCAACCAACGGCGGGTGTTCGGTCGGTCACACCACCACACATTGAAGCGCGTCAACTTCGACCGCACAAGCGTCAACCGTACCAAGACCCGTTATAGGCCGGGTTTACTGACCGCTACCACTATAACCTCACTGTTTAAACACCAAAATATACGTTTCGGGTTTAGGGTTGCCACCGCGTACCCATGCACAAAATGCCAATGTACACCCACGGACACCATATCACATTTATTCATCACAATATGTGGCGACACATCAGCGTCAACACTAACCTGAACCACCCAAAGTATAAACATCCCACCACAGTTGACTACACTCCCTGCAATCCTGTACCCATCATTCCTAAGTTCCACCATACCAACACGTGCCGTCACTCACATAGCAAAAACCTGTTAACTAATTGCACCTTGTTGTTGCTGTACGACGGGCACACGTGCACAACTCTCTGCAGGCTGCCCAGCTCCACCACCGAATACCTCACCTTCTCCACTTTCTTGTGCAGCTGCGTGCACCCTGTAAGCTTGCAGCTTCCCGCCCTCTCGTAGTACCTCACGTATGCGTATCCCTTCCACTCCCCATCACGGTCAAGCGCCCTGAAGATGCACAGACATCTTGCATACCAGTCCCCCTTCTTGTTGTTCAGAAGTGCCACGTTCGAGTACCACCTCTCTCGTGGAGATGCCTTCACAAACGTCCCTTTGGCCACCAGCTCGCCGCCTCTTGTGCGCGGAATGGCCACCGCGGTGTGGACCTGTCACGCGGTTGTGTACAATCCAACATCTCTTAGCATCATGAGTGCAGTGGCAACCAACGTGCAACCCCCAGGTGCGAGATGTATGTGCGACAGCATTATCACCACACCTGCACGTTGTTGGTAGCCAGGTCCAACGCCTTAAACTCCGCGGCCATCCCCTTCATCTCGTCTCCAAGCGCGGCTGTGTACTCATCGTACACCGGATCCGACGCCCCGCCTATGCGCATGATCCGATACTTCTTTGTAAGCACCGGTTTCCTCGTCTTGATTGCCTGCACGTGTACAACCACGTTCCCACAACAAGCCGCAACCTGCCTCAGGCTCCGCTCGTACATGGGCACCCGTGCAACATTACACAATGAATGGCCATCGTAGCACCAACCACTCCCCTACGCACCTCGCGCAATGCAGACGCATACTGCCGCCCACCGCCGGCGTCTGCAGCCACCTCACGGTACACCTCTCTCTGCACCTCCTCCTCCACGATTCGGCGCGGAATGTCGCTCCAGTTGCTCCCTCTAACTGGACCCTTGACCGTGCCCTTGTGCGTGCGCTCCCACATCTCAGTGGAATAATGGTGCGGCATCCCGCGCTCCACCACGTTGTCCAGTAAATGTCTTATCATGTGTATCTTTGGTAGTCTCCAGTGGGATGCCTGCTTTGGAAATGCTCTCGGGAGCAACGCCACCAACCTGCCACATCGTCCACGATGGCAGGCAACAGTCAATGCACACTCGTGTGCCACCCGACGGCCGCCACAACAAACCCACCGCAATTCCGACCAGCGATGCACCTAATGCACACACTTACGCTATCGCATGCTGCCGTGCAATCGCAATGGTGGTATGTGTGTGCCGGTCCACAGCCAGAAACGCCTTGTAAAACGCAGCAAACAGCCTGAACGCTTTGACCTGCAACGCGCGCAGCTCTCCCGGTTCATCACCCTTCAACGCGCTCTCGTCAGCCACCAAGATCGGCATTATCTGCATCATGCTCCTGTGCTCGAACGCAGCGTAGTTTGCGCCGGAACTGAAGAACGATGAGCCCCCTGGGATTCGGAGGAGCACGCTAGGCGTGATGGCCTTAAACTCCTTCTTGCGTCTGCGCACACCAAGTATTCGACGTGCCCATCAGCGCTGCACACATGGTGTACTACAACCCAAATGACCCCACCAGGATATGACATGCAGGCTACAGTCTGCTCACCGTTCAAGCGTCCGCATCTCAACCTTCCCAAGCGGTTCGATGTAGGTGTCCATCATGTGGATCAGCACACCGGAGTCCAGAACATGCAGTGTGTCTGCAAGGCATGCCAGATACACGTTGCCCCACTCTGTGTCCGCGAAATTCCACCTGTGAAGTACGCACTGCAATGTCCAACCAAAGACACCACCGCGTCATTAGGTTCCACCGTACACTACAGGCACGCAAACGCCCTCAGGGTTTAGCCCACCTCGATCGGATGTGTTGACCATAGCCTCCGCACGGCGTCAGCGTCGCCCTTCTTCTTACACGCCAGGATCTGGCGGACAATGTCCCTCTGCATCTCGGGGGTACGCGGATCGGCCTTCCCCACCATCATGGTCAACTCCCCCTTGTCTGCATAGCAGTTAGCGCACGGCCGGTGCGTCCCCTGCTGAAGAGTCGCAGAAGCTCTGCTGGACTCCGGAAAGTCGGCAGGGTATCCGTACAGGCAAGGGACCGCTTTGTGCACCTTCCCGTCCGCGTCCGTGCAGTAGAAGAAGCGAACTGGCCCGCTGCACATTGTGACGATGCACACGTGGCCGTGAGTTAGGTTAGGAACGTACACACAATACGCGGTCATAACACGGGGCAATATCTGCTGGGGTCCCCACTGGCCTGCTGCTCGTGTAGCATATGCACCTCAGTACCTTGCAGATTCTCGCATGATGGGCGCGAGGATGATCTTCAATGCCTCCTGGAAAACCCGCGTCTTCTCCGTGGGCGATGCCCATTCGGGTGGGAATGGCAGCACCGCCGCCAACGTGTGCCCAGGCTCCACCCCACGTAATTCCGCTGGTATGTTGATAAGCGAGATCAGCACCGGCCACGCGTTCCTCCGACCATTCCGTGATGCCTGGGTGCTATCACTGTATATCAGCACGCCTAGTATGAGTGCCTCACTGTCATTAATCTCCTTCTGCCATGCCAACCATACATGCCC